AGATATTTACTAAATAAAATCCGAGGGAGATAGTGAGTACAGAAACTCCAGGGCTGGAACTCTGCTATGAAGAAGCAGGTCAGAAATCAAATCAGTTGTGCTGCTTAAAAAAAAAAAAAAAACCTATCACTTCATCCGAGTTAGGTGATTTGGTTTCTCCCAGACTTAATTTCTCTGTCATTCAAGAATACTAATATTTACCTTATGAAGTTGTTTTGGGATTTAAATAATTTGATATATTTTTAGAAACCTAGTTCATCTGACATCTAGCAGGAGGCAAAATAAATAGACAATAATTCTGGATGTTTTTCTTTTTTTGTCTTTTTGAGACTGGGTCTCACTACACAGTCCAGGCTGGTTCTGGGCTCACTTTGTAGCCTAGGCTGGTCTCAAACTTGCAATGACCCACCTGCCTCAGCCTCCCAGGTGCTGGGATTACAGGGGTGCACCACCATGCCTGGCTTGGATAGTGATTCTTAGTTTCCCTTATATCATTGTTTCTATACTCAAAAATAATCCATTTATCAATGATATTTGAGATCTGACCATTTGAATGTTACTATATATTATACAACTTTCTGGGCACTCTGTGGCCTACTAAATTGTGACTTTCTTGTGTGTTAAAATAATTTTGAAAAAAAATGAGGGTTCAATTCCTTTTTGATAAGATTATGACTGTTTTGAAGGCAGAGACCATTCTTATTCTTTTTTTTTTTTTTTTTTTTTATCAGTACCGGGGATCAAACTCACTACCACGCGCTTGCAAGGCAGGCGCTTATGCCGATGAGCTAAATCCCCAGCCCCCATTCTTATTCTTTATCCTAGAATATTTTCTAACACATGGTGGAATCTCATTTGAATCAAATCTGTTTTCTGTCTTTTATGCTGACAATGGGATGATGATCTTCATAACATTTCTTAATTAGGAGTTATAATTAGCCTATCAATGACTAGGTAGTAGAAGGCGTCCAAAAGAGTCCCCATCATGGGGCCAGTGGTTTAGCTCAGTGGCATAAGCACCTGCTTGGCAAGTGAGAAGTCTTGAGTTCGATTCCCGGAACAACAACGACGAAAAAGAGTCGCTATCACATGTGGCTCACATTGCTATCCTCTTGGGTTTGGTTCTTGTTCCATTATGAGGCCTATTCCATGGCCAAAAAGAATATGAAAAAATAGGGGCTGGGGATTTAGCTCAGCGGCATAAGCACCTGCATTGAAAGCAGGCAGTCGTGAGTTCGATCCCCGGTACCAATAAAAAAAAAAAAAAAAAGAATATGAAAAAAAGTCTTCAACATCTCTAGCTCTTGGAGAAATGCACATTTAACTGCATTGAGAATCTATCTCACCCCTATCAGAGTAGACACCATGAAGAAGACAAAAAACGGGATGCTGATGGGGATGTGGGGGAAAAGGTACTATTCCATGTGGTCAGTGGGAATGCAAACTAGTGTAGTCGTCATGGAAATAATTATGGAAAATCCTCAAAAGAGTAAGCATATAATACCATTGACCCAGTTATTCCATTCCTGAGCAAATCCCCAAAAGAATTAAGAACTGTGTACTGTAACGATACCTGCATACTCATAATTTTAGCAACACAATTCACAGTAGTTAAGCTGTGGAGACAGTTTTATATGCCTGCCCACAGATGAAGAGGTAAAAAAGTTGTGGTATGTATACACAGTGGAATATTACTGAGCGATAAGGAGGAAGGAAATTGTGTCATTTTCAGGAAAAGGGTGGAACTAGAAACCCTTTGGTTAAGTGAAATTAGCCAGACTCAGAAAATTAAAATGTCAAATGTTTGGTTTTGTATGATAAAAACCTAAAATAATTTTTCTTTCTTTCTTTCTTTTTTTTTTTTTAAGAGAGAGGATAGGAAACCAGGAGGTAGATTACCGGACACAGGGAAAGGGATGAGGAGGAGTGAGGAGAAAAAGGTAATGGGATTAAAATTGATCAAGATTTGTTAAATGCACGTGCCAACTTCCCCAAATAAACCTGATGGTCATGTAACATTAACATGCACTAATAAAATGTAATAAAATAAAGCTGTTCCACCAGGAAACTAACTTATTTTGTGCAACTAGTCATTTTTCACAGCAATGATTGGTAATAGAAAAGCCACTGGGAAGAATATCCTGAAATCTCACAGTTAAATCATGATCCTGGGGCCTCTTAGGATACAAAGATCCTCAGAACTATGACTTGTAACCTTTCAGGGGAGGTTATATTAAATTTTCAATTAAATTTTGGGGGAGTCCTTTAAGGGCTTCATGATAGTTGTGGGTGCTCTTTCAAGGTACAGTTCCAAGGTATTCTCAGAACCCCTTGAAGACCTTGCGTACTGAGTTAAAAATTCTTAACTTATTCTTAGAATAGTCCAGCAATTTGAAAGAGTCAAGCTTCCTAATAAGTTCTAGACCTGATTACTCACATTCTTTCCTTGAAAACAAAACAAAACAAAAACAAAACAAACAAAACAAAACAGAAGAATTACAGCTCAGGTTATCCCTCCGGGCTAGTCCCAAGCAGTGAAGGCGAAGGTTTTCAGCCAAGCAGGGACTATTCTTTGGAGAACTTAAGTTCAGCTAGCTACGAGGGAGGTTTGTTTGATAATATCATTTACATTTCCAAATCCTGGGTATCAGGCTTTCTTCCTATCCCTGTGGCCCTTCCTAAGTTTAGCCACTGGTGTAATGGGGGTAACCATAGCAACAACCACCTGCCTATTTAAAAGCATCTCCAATGCTAAATAAGGAAGCCTGGAGGAAATGGCTGCTTGCCTGCCTCTCCGTGGACAAACTGAGCACTCCTAGGTGTTTTCCAGATGTACAAGCAGGCAGAATAGCAGCACACAGATCTGAAGTTCTTAGAAGGAGGGAAACAGGGGCTGCCTCTAGGCATCTTCATTTCCTAGGCAAGGAATGTCACCCTGGGTTAACCTGGGTTACCACACCACTTTGACCTCAAACCAGGTAAAAAGTGAGGGATAGATCTACACAAACTGAGCCCCTAAAAGGAGTTTTGTGAACAGAATCCAGGAAGAAGCAAAGAAGATGGCTATACAGATCCCATTCAGTGTGCTCAGAGTTTGCACCAAAATGCACACTACGGTCTCTACACACAGATTTATCTTTCTAATTAGTCATGTGGCTGACAGATACTTGATGGTCACTCTATTTGTATCAGACATTGACCTATCAATCGATTTCATAATATGAAGAAATTTCTTCTCTGCTCTTTCTTTTAGTCTCTACAAGTTACCGAGATTCTCTTCTGAGGCTAAGAGATCATGTTGACAGCTAACTTTTCCTCAAGGGTGCTGTACTCTTATTTTTTCGTGTATTTTTTTTTTTGTATCCAGTACTTGGTTTCTTCTCTCTGGATTGCCCTTCTGTTTTTGCCAACCTGGAAAATGTATTCTGTTTCCTGTGTCTCGGTTGAGAGCACCTCTGTCATTGGAAAAGCCCTCCGTGCTAAGTTCCACGCTATTGTATTCCTGTAGGATACCTCTATTCACATCACTTAACACAGACTGTTACACACATTGCTTTCCAGTCTGCTCACTTTGGGGGAATGGGAGGGCCTTTCACAGGTCTGCCCCAAATGCCTGTAGAATAGTGCCGGGTGGGTAGGTTTTCAAAAGATACCACTGAATGGATGAATGCACAGAGCCCATGGATTTCAACCATGTGGTATCTTCACTGGCACCTAGGGATGAGTTGTATAAGGGGAACTGTATGAGCAAAAGTTCTTAAAAAGCTGTGAAATGGATGTAAGGGGAGTATTTTTAAAGAAAAGTGGCTGCATACACACATGGGAGGAAAAAAAAACAGAGGAGACTCAACAGTATTGTCAACTTTGTGAGTATAGTAGATGGGCTGGAAGGACACATGCTAGTGTTATGTAGTGAGTGTGTAAGTCGTGTGTGTGTGTGTGTGTGTGTGTGTGTGTGTGAGAGAGAGAGAGAGAGAGAGAGAGAGAGAGAAACAAGAATATGCTGAGCAGCTATTAAATCCCACAGATCACCCTTCCCCAGGCTAAAGAAGCTTCCATATGTTCTGTTTCTGGTTCTTAAGACTTTCTTCTTAGCTAACCTCCCGGGCTGTGGGGCAGGGCAAAGAGGCAGAATGAAAGTGGCCAGCTCTTTCATGGCGCTGGGCATTTAGTGAATGTCTCTAGGTAACACCCTAATTTCTGCTTTGAAAAATAATCTTGTGAGTCAACTGAAAGTCAATCCATTTAGGTTCGAAGATCAAGTCCAAGTTACTGTCTAGTTTCTTCCCCACCTGCCTGAGGCTGGAGCTGGGCTCCCAAGGTCCACTAAGAGTACAACAAAAGAGGAAAGAAGAGAAAAGCTAGAAATTGACCAGTGAGAAGAAAAAGAAGGATGGGAGATGGGTAAATCGATAGCCCCTAGGATAGCTATCAGGTCACGACTCAGTTTTGGCAAATTCTCTCCCGCACTCAGGAAAAGTGGTTTGAGGAACGACCCGCCTTTCTTTCTCTGCCCTTTTTAGACCTTGTATCCAGGCGCCAGGCCTCTCCGTTGCTGCCCCCTGCTGTCTGGGAGGGCAGACGCGACTCCATCGCGGTCCCCAGGCCCCAGCCCCAGGGCTGCCACCTCTTTGCGTCGGAGGCCAGAAAAGCTGAGCCTCCTGCACCCTTCCTTCCTCCTCCCCCGAGGACCCTGGAATCTGCGGCCGGGCTTGCACCTACCTACCCCGAAGGCCGGCGCCCCTGCACCCCGGTTCCCTCCCTCTGCACAGATGCTCTTGCCAGGGCACAGGCTGCCGGGTCGCGGCAGGTTCCTGACACCCCCCTCCCTCCCTCTCCGCTTGGAAATGGAAACCGTCCTTCCGGCAACGTGGCAGGAAAGCGAAGTCCCAGGGCGGCCGGGCCAAGAACATTTCCGTGGGAGCAGGTGGGAGGCCGCGGTCTGGCTGGCTGCGCGGGGCGGGCGGGGCGCAGAGCAGCTGGGCGCGCGGCCCTCTTACCTGCTGTTGAATTTTTCAGGGTGCTTCTCTCTCATCATGTGGAATCTGTGTGCGATGGAAGCATCCTGAAAGCGGGAGAGAAGGCAGGATGCCTGGTTAGTGGTTAGCACTGCGCCTGGTGCAGGGTGCTCAGTCCCCCAGCCCCAGATAAGCTCTCCCAGAGGAGGCGCTAAGGGTACCCGCGAGTGCCACCGGCCCTCTCAGAGCCTACCCTGGCTGTCCCCAGAGCTCGTGCCACTCTAGCCCCTCTCCTCCACCCAGGAAGAAGCAGGTAGGCAGTTCAGGGGTGAGAGAGAGGGACAGTCGCTGTCCTTTGAGGAGAACGAGAGTCGTCCAGGTGGCAGGGAGCAGAAACCAGGTGTGGAGCTGATCATGAGTCTTAGGAGATGCCTTGTCATGCTAAGTGTTTTTTAAAAATACTTTTTTATTTTGGAGTAATTTCAGTCATACGAAGTGCAAAAATAGTACGAGTTACCAGGTCCCTTTCACCCAGATTCCCCCAAGGGTCACACTTCAGGTAACTATGGTACTTTGTCAAAATCAGAAAGCTGACCCTGGGGATGCCATCAGGTGTTAGCCATTCATATTAGTAGCAATGAGGAGCAGCATTGGCAACATAGCCTCACAGATGAAAAACATATTAACTTCTAGTTTCTGCTTCCTGATCATCCCACCCAAACCTTCCAAGGTGCAGAGAAGCTTCCAGCCACCATCTGGGGCGCTTTGTTGCTTTCCTGTATCTACATTCTTCAGGTACACCCCTGCCACCTGCACCCAGAAGTCACGGTGAGGATGGGCCCCATGGTATCATGTTCCTGAGTGCTCCATCCTCAGGTGCAAACTTCTTAACCTTGTGCCCTGTCTGCAGGTCACACTGCCATCACGGGCCACTTGGGAATCCTTGTGGCTGTGCCTAGCATCTAGATGCCAGCCTGACTGTAGCCTGGAGCTCTAGAACCAAACCCAAGCTTCAGTCCTGAAGCTAAACTTAACTTTGCTCTTCACACTGGGTCTTCTACCCTAGTTAATGGTCTTGTGTCCCAGCGAAAGAACACGTGTGTGACCTCCTCACCGCTCAGCCTCTGCTAGCATGCCAGGTGCAGGTACTGGGTTTCAGAAACAAACAGGCAAACTGGACTGGAGATATGGGCCATGCAGAAACAAAAGAGCTGATTCAGATTTGGCCAGGAAGCAAACAAGCAATCAAACAAACCCAGAAGCCCATTTACTGGAATATGTGGCTAAAATATGTCTGAAATCCCATATAGATTTCCAGCTAATGCATATTCCGTTTCTTGATAAGGCAACTCTACAAAGGCACATTTCTGAATGCTGGTATTTTCTTTGGTTTGATTTCAACATCAGGAGGTACAGGTTAGGGAAGAAGCATTGTTGAGCACAGGAGTGCGTGTGATGAATTGCACTTGGGACGGGAATGACCTCCGACAGCAGCCACTAGTGGAAAAGTAGGCAGGGCAAATCAAGAGGATGGGATTATGGTTGGGTTTGTGGTTGGCAACCATTCCTTGCTAAAATTCTATCTTGAGAGTCTGACTATTAAACTGTAGTTATTGGTTTATTTTTCAGTTTAAGACACATCAAGAGTTGAAGGGGGGGAGGTGCACTCATGGACACTTGGTGGGAAGCACCCCAGGGTGCTCCCTCCCGCCCCCAGAGGGTGTCCACTTCCTTCACTCTGGGTAAGTGTCAGTGCATATGCTCAGGATGATGCATGTGACATTTGTCAGATGCTCCTCTGGCATTCAAGAAAACGTTCCATCTACTTGTGTTCCTTTGAAGCACTAATTTTCTTCTGTCAGGAAAAGAAAAAAAGGAAGCTGTCATACACAGCCTGGCACAGTTTGTACTTCAGTACTCCTGCGGTGTCCCCCCCCTCCCCCTGTACAGCTGTGACTGGCTCCGGGTTTCCAGTTCTCCGGGATGTTTGCAGGGATCCCTCCTGCAGTACGGTTCTAATTGTCCTTGGTTTTTCCATAGTTGGTTTTGCAGGACTTCTTTTCCCAAAGACTAGCCTTTATAATATTATTAGTTTAGCATGTGGTTCCTATTTTGACAGTGTAATCCCTTGGCAAATATACAAAGGTTGGGGGGGAGAGGGAGAGAGAGAGAGAAAGAGAGAGAGAGAGGCAGGATTCTTTGTGGTTAAATTCTGAAAAGGCAATGATGGTAAGACTCTGGCCATATTTCTCTACCTGGGAATTAAAAAGAGAGTCAAGATTCACTCTCTTGGGCACCTCTGTGTCTAGCACTGACCTTGGCGTATTTATAATCAGTAGTGATTTCATTCGAATTTTGGGAAACAGGGCAACAGTGATCCAAATCCTTTCTTAGTGATGATTACAACTAGATGACTCTTCCGGCTGGAAGGGCTGGGTGGTTGGGTGGCGGGGTAAGGGAATTGCAAACTCATGAAAGTGATGATGGCATTTCTGATGGCCTTTTAATTCTCTGCTGTGTGGGGTGCAGAGAAGCTGATGAGAGGTAAGGACATAACGCTATCCTTTCCTGAACCAAAACTCCAAGCAATAGTTGGACAAAGAATTTTGGGCCTTTTCCAAGTTTTATTTGGACTCTGAGATATTGGAATGTCTAGGCCAGAGCTGTCCAACAAAGAATATAATATATGTCATATGTATAACTTAAAATTTTCTTATAGCCACATAAGAACATAAAAAGAGGCAAATGAAATTAATTCTAAATCTATATATTTATGACATGCTGCAAATACTATCATTTCAAAGTAAAATCAACATGAAAATTGTAGGGCTATTTTAAAATCCTTTTTTTCACATCACATTTTTGAAATTTGGTGTGTATTTATACTTACAGCTCGACTTAATTTAGACATTAAGTCTGCCATTTCAAGGGCAGGATAGCTACGTATGGTTCATGGCTACCGTATTAGACAAACGCGGGGCTTGGTCATTTTGTCTACTTATGGAAATAGAAAAGAGGCAGCAGGGTGGACTATTTGTCATTGGGAGTGTTCTAAAAACCAAGGGCACACTGGGGAATGGAAAATAATGTAGATCCCCCTGTGCAAGTCACTTCTTTGTGAGTCCCACTGTTGGAGTGACTCTACAGGTGACAGATAAGAACTTGATGCTCACAGAATCCGAAAATTTTCAGGGAAAGGATATCTTGTTGACAAGTTCTTTAACAGGCAGGAGGCTTGTCACTGCAGGAAATGTGGCCTGTGGACTCTGCCAGGTGTAAAGTGGTGGGTGGGTCAGTTCCATGGCTGTGGCCTCTGTTCACCCCAGGAACCCCTAGCATCTGAAACAGATTTCACTGAATCAGAGGGTGAGCAGTGCCCGCCTCCTGCTAGGCTCAGTGAAAGCAGAGCATTCCCCAGGAATTACTCGGTAGTCCTAGACTTCCTGTCACTGATACCTGGCCATCCTGACATTTCTAATTCAAAAATAGAGAGCAGGGAGAAAAAGCCAGAGAGGTCACAGGAAGTGATGTCCTGGACGTGACTGTGTCTAACATCTTGTGCCAGTGCATGGTCTCAGTTAGAAGGCGTGAGAAGGCCAACTGTGTTCAGCCTTCAGAGGCAGAGAGAGCTGGCACATGGATGGGGATTGGTGGCGGTGCGGTCACAGTCACTCTGGTTAGGCCAGGGGAGTCTGTCTCACTTAACCCTCTAACTACTAAACGGGTTCTGATGGCACTGAACAAACTCAGGGAAAATCTCCATCCTAGCAGGCACCCCAGGCTCTCTGGGGGGGATCAATGCCATCATCTTTCTAAATGTAAAGAAGCAGCCATTTGTATCAATAAGACCTTTGGGAGAGCAAAGACCATGCAGGGATCTCTTTGCAAAGCGCTCCGACTCTTATTATTAATAATAATAAGCGAGTAAAACTAGGTTGGTTTACATACCTACTTCTCTCACAAAGTTTGGAAAGTCAAACAGGGCGCAAGACCTTCTGCAAATGTCAGCCCCAGACTCTGGCAGGGTTGTGTGTTGGCTACTTGTTTTATCAAGCTTTTCTCCTTCCAACTTTTAAAGAGTGAACACAAACCCTGCAAATGTTTTATTGAGAGAAGGCTAAGGGTGTACAATAAGATAAAAAACACACAGTCCTGGCTCTTCACCCCCTTGCACAATAATATTAAACTTACATATGCTCAAGGTACATGGAAAGAATCATGAAGAAGATATTGTGAAGTTCTTCATCATTTGAAAGATAAATAGATTGGAATATTATCATTATTTTTTGAGGAAGGGTCTCACTGCGTATTTCAGACTGAACTTGAACTCACTATGCAGCCCAGGCTGGCCTTCAAATCGTGGTGATCTTCCTGCCTCGGCCTCTCAAGAGCTGGGATTACAAGCCTGCCCTACCACGCCCGGCTTAGACTAGAATACTATAAATCAGCCCTGGGCAGATAAATATGTTGACCACTGAAAGTGATGGAGATTCTGCTTATATGTGTTTCCTTGGGGACAATTCCCTCCCTCCTCCTTCCCTCTCTCCCTGTTCTTCCATCTGCAAGAACAAATCAGAAACATAGTTACTGACCCAAGAACTATGGCTCTTGGGTTCTGGATGTCTAGTTGAGAAGTGTTGTCCATTTATTTTTTGGCACGTACAACCAACAGGGAGAGGCTTCCTTCTTACTGGGGCATTTGTAGAGACAGGGAGGTGCTGGGATCACGAGGCTTTTGTCAGCCAGGGCTGAGCGTGTTAAAGCAGGAGAAGCACTGGTGCCGAAGCTCTGAGGAGAGCCCGGACTGTCGTCTGCCGCTAGGAACACAGCCTGGTTCTCCCTTCTTTTCTACCTTTCCTTGCGTTCATTTATTTCAGTTCCGGTTTCTGTGTTGGGAGGAGGAGCCACTATCTTTATATATTCTCCTCTGCTCTAATGGGTTTTCTTTACACTGAGCGCTTGCTCAAGACCATCTGCCTCCGAATGATCCCCAGGGATGGTTAAAAACGCACATTCCCAGACCTTGCCCAGACTGGCTGAGTCATGGTGGTGGGGGTGGAATTCGAATTTCTGATAAGGGGCACTGGAAGGGCTGCCATGCACTCACTACATTTTGAGGTTCCCCCACCCTTGTTGCTTTCCGCAGGCTGCAGAGGCCGCAGTTCAGCTGGCCTAAGAGCTCAGCTGTGATGATTCCAGGATCTACCACTCAAGAGCCTGGAGTCGTCCTTAGCTCACTAAGCTGCAGTTTCTTCTTACAACACACAAACACATGACTGCATCTGCCCACAGGAGACTGGGCCTGGTGTGCTGTGGGTACACAATCGGTGTACTCTGGTTACGACAGGAAACACACACAGTGTGTGCTACAATGAATGCTTGGGAGCCCCTCGTCTAGCAGTCCCCTAAATGCCAGACTGCAGGGTTCCTTCTCGGGAAGGCAGAGTCTGGACAAATGGTCTGAAAAGGAGTGGTTTCAGAGCGGGGCGAGGAAGGAAGGGGAACCCAGAGGAGGCCTGGGGAAAGATGTCCCCCAACAGTGGCTGGGACCTACAGGGAACAGGAACCCTTACACTACTCCTAGTTCACCCCCGCCCCTTTTAGAACCTGACCCAGCGACCCCTCTCTCTCTCCTGTGAAAAAAAGCACTGGACACATTATAGGTCTTCAAAAGAAGATAATAGTCAACCAGAATGGGCATCATAATGCATCCCATGTCTCCAATGTTTTGGTTTTGTTCTTTACCGTTTTGTCCAATTTTATTATAACTGATGATATAGGCAATTCTTTTTAAGATAGCAAGAGGCATTATGGTAACCATTGTTGATCACCTTGTATTATGTTTTTACATTATCTATTATGCACCCTTTTGATATGACTGACTCTGTTCTGTTACGTCACATTTGGTTTTACTCTCTTTCAAAAAAAGTAATAAGAACTGTGGGAGTAATAAAACCCAAAATGTGTAATAGTCATTGTACAGAAGAGAGGAAAAGAAAGTGCTCTAAACGATATAACTGCATGTAAATTTAGGTGTATAAGATAGACAATGATATTACTGAGTTTTGTTGGATCATTGAACAGAACTGTTTGCAGTCTCACTGTTTGAATGTCCACTTTATATGCTTTAATTTTGTAACTTGAACAAATATTTGTTTTTTTTTTTTTAATTTTTTTTTTGTCTTTTTTGTTTTTATCGGTACCAGGGATCGAACTCACAACTGCCTGCTTGCAAGGCAGGCGCTTATGCCGCTGAGCTAAATCCCCAGCCCCATTGAACAAATATTTGTAAGATGACAATATGTAATCCATTAACTAGTGATTTCCTACTGTTTTTTTTTTTCTGAAATTCTGTATAACTTGTACCCTTTTTCTGCTTTCTTTTTCTTTTTATCCTTAAATAAAATTAAGAAAAAAAAAAAAAAGCACTGGACTAGGAGTGGGAAAATAGAACAATCCCTAAATCTGAATCTCTGTTTCTTCACTCATAAAGTAGAGATAATAATAATGTACTTCAGTGTCGTCATCAGAATAAAAACAACCAGGCCAGGCATACGGGTGCATGCCTGTAGCCCCAGCTAATTGGGAGGCCTAGGAAGGAGCATCATAAGTTTGAAGCCAGCCTGGCAGCTCAAGTGAGATCTTGTCTCAAAAGAAAATTTAAAAAGGTTTGGAGATGTAGCTTTGTGTTCCCTGTACTACTCCTCCCTGGTGGTACTAGATCAAATCTCCAGCACCACTATTACCACATTACCACTACCACCCTCATCACCACCACCACCACTGTCACGACCATCACCACCATCACCATCACCATCACCACCACTGCCACCATCACCACTGCCACCATCACCACTATCATGACCATCACCATCACCAGCACCACCACTGTCATCATCACCACCACCACTGTCACGACCATCACCACCATCACCATCACCACCATCACTGTCGCCACTATCACTATTACCATCACCATCACCACCACCACCATCACCAGCAGCGGCAGCAGCAGTGGCAACAACAATAACAACGATGACAACAGAACAACAGCAACAAAACCCTGTACATATGGTAAATTTTAAATCCTTCTGTGAATATAAGGCATTATTTTTAGTCTTTCCCATGCTTCTCTTTTTAGCCTTGTTATTAAAAAACAAAACCCTGTCCGTAAGCCTGCTAGCTCCTCAAGCTAGCTGTCACCCACCCCAACATTTTCTAAAGGGGCCCAGGTGGGGATGGCAGAGGTGGCCAGGTGACCTGGGGCCAGAGGACGGCTTGGGGGTTTGCAGGCCCCTGAAGTGGGCAGCGTAATTGCAGAGACAAAGAAGGGAAGAGGGAAGAGCCTGACCTCGGGACAAGAGCCAGCTACTAACTAGCCAGCTGGTTCTGCCTCCTAAGAATCCAGCACCTCGAGGCCTCTTCTGTAAAATGGAGATGGCAGAGACCATGGCTTCTGTGGGCTCCGTGAGCACTGGAGTATGTCAAAGCTTGCACGGTGACACTCACACAGGAAGTGCTCCACAGACGTGTCTTCGCTGTGCGCCTTCCCAGGCTCCAGCTCTGTTTATGGGTGTGCCTGACCCCTTCACCCCTGCTCCCCATGCTTCCCGAACTGCTTGGGAACCCGGCTGCACTTGGTTCCCTTTGAACTGGGAGCTGAGTTCAATGAGACAGAGTACACTGAGCTACACTAGCTGTGTTGGGGACTGCAGGTGCAGAGAGAAACAGCCCTGTCTTATGCTGTGTGTGTGTGTGTGTGTGTGTGTGTGCATGCATGCACACTTGGTGTGTGTCAGTGCAGTGAATCAGGCACATTCAAGCCAGTCATTTAATCTCATGCAGAGATCATGGAGGATAAAGGCAAACACCGTGCACAGCCTGGGGGCAGCGAGGGGTGGTGGTGTGTACCCCAGAGGCTTCGGAAGCACTTGGAGTGTGTGGGCTGAGGAGAGGAAGGACTTCTGAGTGCAAAGTTCCCAAGCCACATGGCACCATGCAGTCGTCCCTGAGGTCCAGCACCCCACTTCCTGATGCTCGCAGGAAAGCATCCGCCTGACCTTGTCCCTTGGTCATTTCTTAGTATTGGTTCTCCTCAACTGCCTCAAATTACCCCAAAGATGAATGAGTCTTTTGAAAATCTCTGGTCTTTCCTTGTGCTCATTAAAATGCTAAGGGAAGGAGTTTCCTCCAAAATCAAAGAGTGGAGGTGGTGTCTAATCAGAGCGTCCACACTCATGCCAGAATCACGGCTGCTCACACCCGAGTCAGGGCTGAAGCAGTGAGGACAGACAGAGTAGGGGTGTAGCAGTGACCGTGGGCAATGGGAACCCTTCTCGGACACTTCTGTATCATGCAGATTGGTGGCCTCTGACCAACTCACCACGCCGATGGAGAAGTAGTTATTCATGATGCTGTACGGGACCTGGTCTCCATTCTCCACCTCCTCTCTGGGGACGACTTCCAGATACCAGCGGTCCAGCATCACTAAGGGGCTCTGCTCAATGTCCTTGAGGATTTTTGTCAAGCTGCCCCCTTCGTAACCTGTGGAGGATGGCACTGTGTTTGCACAGGTTTAGTGTCAGGACAGGTAGTCCCGTCGATGTCTGTGACCAGGTGACTCCCTCGTGTGTCTGTGGGCTGGATACACTTAGATTTCCTCAGCCATGGAGAAGGGAGAACAACAGAGATGGATAAGGAAGAAGCCAGGGTCACTTGGAGCCTCAGCGGGATGCAGGTGAGGATTGGTGCTGGTTAAAGGCGGGCTCTGGAGAGCTGGTAGCTGGGATGGCTGGGGAGCTGTGGGTGGGAGATAACAGATCCATTCCAGGACAGCATCACGGGGGAGAAGATGGGGTAGTGTGGTAAGCAGAGTGTTAAGATGCCCCTGGGGGTGCCCCTGGAGCTGGCTTCTGCTTCCTCTGCACCTGCCCACCAAGTAAGAGCCAAACTCTGAAAACAGTACTTTCCTACCTGGTCTTGAACCGCTCTCTGATTTGATCAGCCATCTGGATGCCCCATCCCCTTTCTGGCTGCCAGACACATCTGTCTGCTCTGTGCTATGCTGAACTCTACTGGGGCTGCGGCCACCTGCAAAGTTCTTCTTACCTCCTGCCCCTTGTATGATAAACTGGTTACCACTCTGCATTCCTGCCCTGGGAAAAATTCTAAAAAGGGAGCCTGTGGCCCTGGGTGCCTGGGCTAATCTTCATTACCCTGCTGGCTCTAAATAACTGAGGATGTGGCATTTGGTCTGTATCCTGCAGCCTAATTCAGAAGATCATTAATTCTGGCAAGGGGAAATTTTTGTATAGAAAACACCAAGCGATCCCAGTTGGGGAGGGGACGACTGAGATTTGGTGTTTACCCTGAAGTTGACTGTTAGGTTCTACTGGGGGAGGTGGGCTTCGGGCTGGTGCCTCTGGAATGGTGGCAGACATGGGGAGGGAGAGCGAGGGGCTGGGACCCATCGGGGAAGGGAGGGCAGAGAAAGGCTCACAGGTAAGATGTGACTTCCACCGAGTATGACTCTGCAGACTCGGTCCACAGAAGCGTCAGTGCTACCCAGCTCCGTAGAGCATCCCTGTAAACTTGAGAACTCCTCCCCAGGGTGGCATCACGTGCAGGCTGACTCACCTCCACCCCAGCGGAGACACCGGGCCAGGTCGTTTCCTGTTCCCAGGGGCAGGACAGCCACCGGTGGATGCTTGGTAAGGTTGGCCTTGTCTGCAACCGATACAAAGGGACAGAGCACCAGATGCCATGGGGTGACAGAACCTTTGGGTTATCTTCTTATCCCTGGGCTGGTGCCCAAATCCCTCTGAAGCACTCTCTGGAGAAGGGGAACAGCCACTCCACTTCCAAAGCCATCTTTCAGTCTGTCAGCCACCACAGACTGCGCTGGTCTGTCGGCTTGTCCCTCCTACTGGGCTCGACCTGTCTCCCTATGACTTGCACCTGCTTATCCAAATTTCACCCTAATTCTGTTCTTGGAGGTGACACAGGTTTAATCCTTAATCACAGCCAGCACACCCCATTCAACTTTCAGACACGTTCTGTATTCTTGTGCTTGTAGAGGAAGAAATGAAGCTCAGCAAGGGGAAATAATCATGGAGCCAGGATCCAAACCTACGTCTCTGTAGCTCCAAGTGTATTCTTTTTTTTTTAGGGGCCACGCAGGTGCCTAGATTAGCAAAGCTGGGGAGTCAGAAACATTAGGGAATGGCAGTACTTTGGTAAAACTGCAGATGCTCCCCTAAGCTTTTTTGGGGGGCATTTATAGAGACCTTTGTGTCCATGCACCCCGGGGGTGAGTGATGTGGTGGAGAGGGTGGGTGTGAGAAGCTGCAGGAACCAGCAGGCGAGGCCTGAGCTAGGGCTGTCCTGGCACAGTGGACGCTCACAGGTCTCCAGGTTGTCTGTTCTATGCCAGGCATGACTGGGTTCAGGCATGACCAAGGGCTGAGATCACCACTGGCAGGATTGAGGCTGGATAGAGAGTGGCCCCAGGTCACATGATTCAAGTTTCTGCCTCTGGCCTTTGCACATGCTGTTTTCTTTGCCCAGAAGTCTCTTGGGTCCTTATATCCATTCCTTTCTCTGTTGGCAGGTCTGCTGTCCTCACAGTAGCAAAATTAGAAGCTTTTCTGGCATCCTGGGTGTCTCCATCTTCCTCACCCCATCTATTCACATGTCACTGACCAGCTCTCCAAGTGGTTTCTCCTCACCATCCCATGGTGACATCCTAGGGCAGCTTATGACTGCTTCCATGCTACCACCACCACAGCAGCCTCCTGTGGTTTCTCAGGGTCCACCAGGTCCACCCGCTGAGCTGAGCACATCTCACACCCACCAGGCGCTAAGCCTGAGGGTCAGGGCACAGGTGCACCCCGCCAAGGCCCTGCTGTGCTTCCACCCTGCTCCAGGTCTACCTTCCACGCCCTGGACTCACCGGCCCTGCTCTCTGGGTCAGCTGACCTGAGGGGCTTGCTCCCCCAGTCACAAGGCTCTGTGGCCACCTCCAGGACGCCCTCCCTGGCTGTCCTGTCTGGACCCCACGCTTCTCCAAAGCGGGCAATGTCATCACACTCAGTCTGCTTGTTCGGTTCCCAGATGTGGGGCAGCCTCGAGGTGGGGGAGTTGGGTCTCATCCATGTGGCAGAGGTCTGCTGTGTGCTGGGTGCCCTACCTGTGGGCTGTGATGGCTCAGGTTCTTGCAGTGCCTGAAGGGGTGACAGGTGTGGCACTGAGGCTCTCATAGGGCTACTACAGCGGGTTGGGGGTTTCTGGGGAGGCACATCGGGACAGAGGCCCCGTGTGGGGTGGAGACTACTGTGCTCAAGGGCATGGGGGTGGGGAAGGCAGATGGCCAGAGGCCAGGGGAGTGGATGAGAGGGGGACAGAAGGCTGGAGCCTCAAGGTCCTCGGGAGGGTTTTTGTCTGTATCCTAAGCCGACTTTTGACGGCACTTATCCATGGTCACCCGGTCACCGGGGTGTGGGTCCCACAGGCCCACGGCCAGTGGCAGAGACCACTGCATGGACATTCACTCGGAAGTTCCTGTGGACACGCGTCGGGTGAGTGACGGCCGCCTCGTACCTTTTACCTCTGCGTTTCCTGTTACCGCCACTGAACTCTGGAAAACAACCTGACTCTGCTTGCATCTCTCGCTCTCTCTTTTGTGTGTGTGTGTGTCTTTTTTCTGTTTTGAGTGGCTTCTGTCACATACTCTCTGCAGATGCGTGGCAGGGAACCTTGCAGCACCACTGCTTTCTCCCTCGTGACTGAGAGGGGACCCAGCAGCCGCTTGGGGCAGTGTCCATGGAAACCAAGGTCCACTCGGGCCCTGGCCCTGCGCCTTTCCTGCCCCGCCCTGGGTCTGGGCTTGGCCCACTCGTGACTTCACTTGTCCTTTTGTCTCCCCCTTCAGAGACGTTCAGAATTGGATGCTTCTGGCCTCTTGTGGTTTCCGCTGTGGCCCAGTCCTGAGGGCCTGTCCTGGAGGGCTGCAGTAGCCTCCTACTTGGCTTTCTGGCTTTCATCCTTGTCTCTTGGTCTGCCATGCTCCTCCTCCGCTGACATCCTGAGAGCTCCAGAACAGCAGCCATGTTCTATGCAATATCCTTCTGACCAGGCCCCTTATTACCTGGGCCTCATTTCCTTCCTGCTTCCTGAATGTGCTCTGTTCTGGCCACACTGACCTGTGTTCACTATCCCAGTATGCTCCTACCCCAGGGCCTTTGCACTTACTGTTCTTCCTCCCTGGACTGCTGTTCCTTCGTCCCATTCCTTCTCCAGGTCTACATGTAAACAACTTCTTCCTCTCTGAGTGCTGGGCTTTAGACTGCAACCCTGCCCACTCCAAGCTGGGCTTCTATTGGCCCTTCCCTGTAATAGTTTTAAATCATTCTCTGATGTTTTACACATCGCATCTCTCTTCTTCTCTCTCTTTCTCCTTGACTTTCTTCCCTCCTTCCCTCTCCGCCTTCTTCCCTTGTCTCCTCTCTTCTTGCCTGGCTCTTTGTTGGCAGTAAGCCCCATCAGGTCCGGGTCGCACCCGGATGCTCAGTGCTGTGACCCAGGGCCCCGAGGAGGCATGGCACAGGTAGCCACTGTGGAATGAATGAGGAAAATGGGCAGCAGCCAGGTTCATGGGTCGGGACTCCCTCTGACCTTGGTGACTGCCCCACTTCCCAGTGCTTCCTTTCCAGTCCTGGGTCTGTGGATTTTGAGAAGGCTTATTGCAAGCTTCCCCAGCCCACCGCACCTCTTCCTATTGTGTCCAAGGGCCGGCGGATCCAGGCCCGGGAGCTTGGGATATGGGTTCTCCTTGCTGCCCTTTTGATCCAGGTGTGTGGGACCCGGGCCAGCCTGGCCTTTCTTTGCTAGTGCTGATCTGTATTTTCCAGATGTGCTCTCGGGGCTCACTCCAGGTGTGCACCCCGGGGCGGTCGGTCCTGCGCTGTGCATCTGTGCTTAGTTCTTGGCCTTCTCCCTGCCACAGATCTGCCAAGACCCACTCCTGCCCCTCCACGCCCTCGCACCTCCTGGTTCTGCTACTGTTCCAGCTCTGGCCACAACGGAGGTGAGACTTGAAACAAAACTGTTATCTCTGAATAGATGGGAATCTTTCTGTCACCTGAGTTGATTTTTTCCCCCCATTCAAAGCAACTGTTTGGTCCAAGGGTAGACACCAGGCTACGGCCCCATTTCTTGCTAACTGCCTTCTGCTGCCTCCGATGCACTCAGGAGAGATCGCCAAGGCCCTCCCTGCTCACTCTGCTCGTCCTTACCAATGCAATCCAGAATCCAGCCGACCGTGCCGTCCCCTCCGCAAGCCAGCACCCGGAAGTCTGGGGTGTCATGGAAGAAGTTCAGCCTGCGAAGTAGAAGAAAGACCACAGTGGCCTGGGCTGCACTGATATCTGCTGTGGGCTGTCAGTCTCTCTGTTCTGTGGCAGGATGTCTTTTATTTTTTGGTACCAGGAATCAAACTCAGGATCCTGCACTTGCCAGGCAGGTGCTGAGCCACTAAGTTAAATGACACAAGATCTGGCTCAAGATCTTGACTTTTTTTAGAGGGTTGAAACATCAATTGATGTTCTAAAGCCAGAAATCACTATGCATGCCACCGTGTACAAGAAAAGTCCCAGGAAACTCTTCCTGTGAGGAGGAGACTCTGTCCCTACATTAGGCATAAATGGAAAACCCTTCTCCAGCAATTCTCTACTATTTGACAAGAGAATTCCCAGTTTGCCCATTTTGGCACCCATGCAAATAATCCCTGCTATTTTGACCCCTGTAGTGATCTCCTGACTGCTCTGTCTTTATGACCTTCCCTTTAAACCAGATACATGGAATTAGCTGGGTCTTTAGAACAAGTCTTTGGAGCAAGGCTCTCTACCCTGGACCCATCAGCTTCCAAGGGGCTTATGGATAGAATTCAGAGGGTCAGCTGGACATGGTGGTGCATGCCTGTGATCCCAGCATTTGAGAGGCTGAGACAAGAGGATCACTGTGAGTTGGAGGCCAGCCTGGGTTACAAAGTGTGCTGAAAGCCAGCCTGAACTGAATAGTAAAAACCTGTCTCAAAAAAAAAAAAAAGAAAAAAAAATCAGAGGGTCACAAACTTGAAGGAGAAAATATTGCATTCATCTCTTCCTTAAGCTCTTGCTGAAATTTAGTATTTCCTTCGCATAATGAGTGTAGGCAACAAATCACAGAGATATTAATGATGCTGTGACTTTCTCAGCAGGCAAAACCGCAGGTAAGGTTTTATTACAGTTGTGTCATACATCACATCCTATCATTTATGCTCATCTCTGCTTTGTTCTTACAGTAGTTATTAGACATGTCTATGACTGTTGCTATTTAATGCCTTGGGAAAGCATATATATTCCCAGATCATGAATTTGTTTTAAAATGTTTTGATAACTACTTTCCAGCCTCATTAGTTTCCCTGGTAATCCTAATTGGTTCATTTCAGGCACTACGAAGTATGATTCTCTGAAGGGGTCTATAGACTACAGACTGCCAAAGGGCTTTGTGGGACCTAAAGGTGAGGAATCCCTGCTGTAGAACTAGTGTGCTCTTTGGACCCCTTGGGGTGAGACTTGGGAAGCTGAATGAAGGTCGGGAGCTCCTGTCTGCCCAGCCTGGCCATCTGAGAACCTCCCTAGGCTCCCGGAGTCACCGATGTCTCCACAGGCAGATTCACACTCCCACTCCTCACATCAGAGACACTCAGGATCAGCCGGCCCTGAAAGCAGGTCCCTGGCTTGTCATCCACACTAAAGACAATCCAGGATGAGCCAAACTAGAGGACTGGGCTCAAGTGTGTTCATACACTAGAAAAGCGTGGGCCAGTCCAGGTGGTTGTGGGCTACTGCTCGGACACAAGGCTATGCCATCCGGCAGTAACTGGCAGTCGTGGTGACCGTGACAGCAACCACAGAAGACTGGCAGGGGGGCTTGGTTTTGAGGTTAATTTTACAGGTACATCATAGCAGGAGTACTGGAACCATGTTATCTTTCTCCTCTTAACAGGGTCTTGTACTGCCATTGCTATAAATAGCAGCGTTGTGTCAGACAACTAAAGACAAGCACAGAGTTCTATTTTTAGAGTCTTTACTAGGACCCATCCGCCAGAAAGATTTCGCTGAATCCAGAAGACAAATAAATGCTTCTTAAGAGGCAAGAAAGTTGGTCCATCGTGCGCGGAGAGCGGAGGCGGGACTGGCCAGCAGGTGGCGCTACGGCAACGGCTCTGACAGGTCTTTCGGCCTGGCCTTCCCACCTATGGGGGGGTGGGGGGGGGACACCACCTCTCCCGCCTCACTGGGTAGATTTGAAAACTGCAGAGGGACCGCGATCAGAACACTTCCTCCTCCCTTAACAACGGACCGGACCGTGAAAATAGTGGCTCACACAGCTTTGCTAAGAAGCTCAGATAAGTCACCAGCCTGCCCTTTTTTGGTCAGTCAAATACATAGTGCATGCAATTTTCTGCTCTCATAAAATCAACAGCTTTGAGGTGGGGTTGGGGAAGCCAGGTAAAGGAGGTGACTTCTCAAGGATGTGTTCCTCAGCATCCCTGGAAACAGTCAGTGTGGGATGCAAGACAAAGAAGAGCCAGGGTGTCAAGCGGCAGAGGGGACAAGTCCAGAGATGAAAGAGACATATAAAGTGACAAAGAAATGAGTCTTCTACGGAGAGTGAAGGGGAGGTGGAGAGACACGCAGTAAAGGTTACTGTCTCATACCCTGGCGTGGGTCCCCCATTGTCCAGGTTGAAAACTTGTTTGGGGTTGAGCAGGTAGTGGAATTTCCGAAGAATCCTATGGAGGAAAAGGAAGGGGAACGGGCAGACGAGGAGCGATGGCATGGTTAGAAGTCACAGGAGGGCAGACACTCCCCCTTCGCCCCCAAGAGACCCACCCTGGGGGGGACCCAGGGTTCACTGAAACCAGAGAGGAGAGACCGCTGCACACAGATCCTGATGTCCCAGATCTATTGTCCTTGTGCTCGGCCCCTGGTCAGGGGCACCCCACATCTGAGACTGTAGCCCCTGCCCTGGAGCAGCGGCCTTGCAGGGGACACGGTAGAGAAGCCCAGAGAACAGGAGCTTCTGTCCAGTGCTTCTTCCTCCAGAGACCTGGGAGCAGATGTCATGCGTGGTCTGTGCAGTGTGAGTGTGGATGGTCCCAAGGCAGGGGGAAATGGGGTGAGGATCCCCTGTCCCAAGTCCTGAGGAGATGCAAAGGGGGCAGGTGTGGGGAGCAGAGAGGCAGTGGCTGCCTCTCGGCTTGGGTCCTGGGCTCCAGCTGGACACTAATCAGTTAGTTCAGGAGTAGTGTCCCACCCCTTGGACTCGGGTTGGGGGCCCCATGGTTCTGACTTTATTCTTTTTTTTTTTGGTACTGGAGATCGAACTCCCAACCTTGCGCTTGCCAGGCAGGTGCTTATTCTGCTGAGCTAAATCCCCAGCCCCTGACATTATTCTTATTTATTTATTAACCAGGATTTTCAGATCACTGTGTCATCTGCTTATTATCCCTGGACAGACTGGGAAGGCAGGGTCACTGTGTGTGTCCCTTTGGTCCCTCTCTCCTCCTACTCTACTTAGCAGTCAACGGCTCCTTCCCCAAGGAGGAGGGTGTCCCGCCCACGTGGGGATGGGGACAGCCCAGGAGGCCCTAAGCAGCTGAGTCCTACCAGCTCTTTTAAATCAGGAAAAGACATTGGAGGCTAAGAAGGACAAGCATCTCTGAGATCCCCAGGGACTTAGCGGTGGCTCCTGTGATGGGCACTGGGCTAAGCACTGGGTCCTTTCCAGTTGTTAACCCTTGAGAAGAAACAGGATTGCACATTACAGAGTAAGAAACCGAGGCACGAGAACGTGAAGTCCCTTGGGCCGGTGGTGCTGGGATGTCAGTCCAGGTCTCCCTGTCTCCCCAGCCACATAGCTCATTCTCTGCAGTCCAGGAGTGGAAGGGGCCTGGGACTTTCCGCATGGTAAGAGAGGAAGACATACCTTTCTCCTTGTCTCCCTCCACTCTTTGGATTCACCAGGACCAGCAGTGGGTGGGTGCCCGGGGTGGGGATGATCTTATACTTCAAAGGCAAAAAGAAAAAGAGACAGACATCAGCTGTGCTTTGTCCGATAAGAAGGCCAGAAGAGATGATGAGAAGACGGATTCAGAGAGGTGGATGGGATGCAGGGCCAGGCATGGAGGAGAGGCGGACAGGGAGGTGGGGCTCGGTCCGCTGGCTGGGATTTCTGGGGGTGAAGCAGCTTGGTGTCCCGGCGTGAGTGGCCTTTACGGAGTGTTAATGGCAAAGAGGGCTGGAGGATGGGGTCGGAGATGGGGCGATGGCACTGGAGCTGCGAATCACTCAACAATGGTGTGGCCTTGGGCCTGTAGCACAAGGTCAAATTTTGTGAGGGACACAGCTAAACACAATCTCAGACGGTGTCGCCCTGTGGTCATACATGTAAATGAAATCCATGCTTGTGGGGCAAAAAATCACTTCGACTCTGGCATCTTCCAAATTCATATTTTCGGACCCAATTTTTCTCCTGCGTCCTGGTCCCATACTTCTCTCTGTCTGTCCAGGGGCCTTCACCTGGACCACTGACCACCAGTGATGAGTCCGCAGTCCTGACTCATTTTCCCTTCTCTTGAGATGGGTCCTCTATCCTGGGTCCCTGCGTTTATTCATCCAGGGAAGGCCTGACCTGCCACGCCATGTCCTGCAGTGTTTCTTTATCCCCAGAAGCTGTCGGAGTCTCTCCTTCCCGAGCTTTTGCTCCCCCTGAAGTCCTGGGTGCTGCCTTTATGCAGTGACTTCTCAGGACTGCTGCTCCTCCCCAGACACCTCAGTGACATCTCACTGCCCAGAGGACAAAGTCCACGTTTCTGAGCCTGGCACCCATGCCTGGTCAGTCTAGTCCCCTCGTACTGCGATCACCTCCTCCTAACCCCCAGCCCGCTGTACACTCTGGTGAGTGTGCTCCTGTGCAATTTCTTTGAGAAACAAGCAAAAGCAAAATTTGAGCAGCTTCCCTTCCTCAGTGGCCAGTTCCAGAGCCATCTCTTCATGGAAGTGTCCCCTGGTCAGTGCAAGTAAAATATTGTGCCTGAAATTTGTAGCATCCTCAGAGGTTTGTTTTGTTGTTTGTTTGTTTTTTACGTTCTCAGGGGATGTCTCAAGGCATTGAATGGATTGTAAATGCAGCAGGAGCAGGGTGAGCATTGGAGAGCTCTCCTACTAAGGGCCCCTTGAGATCATGGATTTAGCTGAGTGAAAATGCGACGGATGCAGCTCAGGATCTGATGCCTGCTTTTTCAGATCTCAAACTGAAAATCTAGCGGAAGGAAGTCTGATATAAACAGTGGGCGCATCTGTGTTGTGTGTGTGCCCCACTTTATTTGCTGTCCCCCTAGATGTCCGGTGCTTTCTCACCTCTTCACGTTCTCCTGTCATGATGTCTTACATTTTACTTTATACCAAAACCCACAGATCTGCAAGCTCTCAGTTAATCCCACAGCACCTCTGGAAGGTGGGCAGGGTAAGGATGGCTGGGTCCCTTTCCCAGCAAGGAAACGAAGCTCTAGGGAAGAGGAGGAGGCCTTACTTTCCTATTTCCTTTTCTTGGGACTCTTTGTACCTTATCAGGCTGCCTTCCCTGGACTTTAAATGCACATTTAAGGATGAAGAACTTTGGATCCGCTTAGCTTTGTCTTGGCAGACCAGGTTTTGGGAGACTCATTGTCTACTTATAGGCCACACTTTTGTTATAGTTTGGGAGGTCCGCGTATCAAAGTTTTATAAGAGGTGACAAAGCCAATTGGACCAGCGATGGGATCAGCCAACCTCCCTTCTCACCACTTGCCTACAGTGTGGCGGTCAAAGGTAACTCCAGAGGCCGGAATAAAGTGTCCTCCTGTGTGACAGAATTGATCAGACGAGAAAGCAGACGTTGAGACACATTTCTTTCCAACCCAAACCCCGCCCGCCCTCCACAGCCTGGGACCCCCTTAGAAGGAGAGACTGGCTCGCGGGCTGGGGAGGTACCTGCATTACAAGTTCGCCCTTGGCTGCTACACTGCTGCCGTCAGACTTCCCACCTTGCCTGTCCTGCGAGAAGAGAAGAGAGATGAGCATCTTCTGAAGGAAAAGAACACGACCAAAACTCAGACCAAAGCAAGGCAGACGCCTACTGTATGGGAAGGGATCAGATAAAACCCAATGGCTGATCCCACCAAAGAGATTAAAAGACCAATAGAATGTGAGGGGTTTCTCAAGGGAGACTTTATTATTTGTTGACTTTTGGAGACAGAGTCTCAGGAGGCAATTCAGGCTGTTTTTGAGCTCACTTTGTAGCCCAGATTATTCTTGAATTTACCAAGACCCTTCTGCCTCAGCCTCCTGAGTGCTGGGATTACAGTCACCATGACTGGCTTCAAAGGGAGATTTTAGATCTTTTTTTTTTCTTTTTGGTACTGGGATCAAACACAACCTTGCGCTTGCCAGGCAGGCACTTATGCCACTGAGCTAAATCCCTGGCCTGAGACTTTAGATCTCAAAAAACAAAACAAAACAAAACAAAACAAAACAAAAAACCCACCAAAAAACAGAGTGCACCGTGACTGGTTTCTGTAGGATTCTCCAGGATCTATCATTACTTGCTGTGACTTTATTCCCTAATACAGGCAAGGGACATTGCGGGGCAATACTAAAATTGACAGAAATTTATTTTATGGGTCAGAAAACTTGAACTGTGAGAACAAGAGTTAACGCCTCTACCCACATAATTTGATGATACAACATCAGACTATGAAATAAGTGACTGTTTTTAACTGTTTGTCCAATATGTATCATTTATTTCATTGAGGCTTATATAGCATCTTATAAAATGCTCAGATCTCAACTGCACATTGAGGAATTTTTGCATGTATATGTATATGTATGTGTATATGTATGTATGCCCTCATAATATGCTTGTGCAATTTTGGTTATTACACTAGTTTTACTTTACTTTTGAGTTTTACACAACCATTGTTTGTTCCTTCCAGTTGTGACATACTATATTATATTACACGAATACCATATGCCTCTATTCATCAGTTCTTCTATTAGTGGTCATTTAGCTTGCTTCCAGTTTTGGACTATTGTGAACATTTTTGCATATGTCTTTTGGTGGAATAATGCTTGTATTTCGTAGGTAGAGCTACAAGAGGGAAATCATTAGGGAGATTGTATATTTCCCTCTTGGTAGGCATTGCCAAATGGCTTTTCTTTTTTAAAACTTATTATTTTATAATTGTCACCCAAAGAAGTAAGCATAAAAAGAGCAGGAAATCTGTCCACACACAAAGACACCAAAATACTCAGCCGAGGGCCTGGATCCCACAGCAACATCCTGCATGAGTCCGGCTGAAAACATAAAGCCCATGACAATCCCTCCCATGAGTCCTACTGGAGGCCTAGAGCCCACGACAATAACTCATGCACTGGGAAGGCCCCTAGCTCAGCAGTGGAAGCCAGAAAATCTGTGCCAGTAGGATGAAGAATCTGTGCAAAGACAGCCTTTTACAGTGGTGGTTTTCCTTAGATTTTTAAGGTGAAAGAATTAGCTAGTCATGTCAACGTTGGGATGAGTAGAACCAGTGAGGCTTGGCAATATTTTTAAGAGGGAAAGAGGAGAGAGACACTTGTTTGAAAGAGCAGTCAAGGCAGGAGGCAGACAAGGTTTCCGGTGGAGGTAAAAGGGGTTCTGTGTCTATTCTTTTACTTCCTAATGGGGCTGAGACACTCCACAGGAGCCAGGCAGAGGACTCTGTGCTTGGACCTGGAGAGAGGCCTCTCCACTCAGAGGTGCTGCCTGGGGGTCCTGCCTGGGCCTGGCCTGCAAGGTACATGGGACGAGTGTGCTTCCCTGATGGGTCACTTGGAACCAGCAGTCAAAGCCACTGCCTCAGTGCCTCCTCCCAGTCTGCTGGTGCAGCACTGACCTCTTTCAAAGCAGCACCTCGGTCAAACCCGAACCGTAAGAGATGTTGGGGAAACCCTGGGAAGGGGGCGGGGGCGAAGGTTTGAGCATTGTTAATATCTACACTGCAAACCCAGGGAAGCCACAGCCCTGGCGGGGGCAGAAGCACTTACCCGGGTGATGGGGCATATCGAGGTGGGCAGCAAGATATGGTCTCTGAGTTCGCCACCGTCACACAATGTTGATAATTCACATTTGCGGTGAAACTGGAGGAGAGAACAGAGGTGAGGATGAGCAGCAGCGATCCAGGAAGCACCAAGTGTTAGGGTCCAGAGGTTGGCTGGGGAGGCAAGGTGTCTAGTGCACCCCGATCCAGAGGCCCTGCTGGCTCTAGCAGGATTGCCGAGTGTGTGACTGTGTGTGTGCGTGTGTTTGTGTGTGTGAGCATGCGTGTGCGTGCGTGTGGGCTGAGGGTGCCGCATTTGCCTCAGGCAGAGAAAGGAGGCCGAGAGCTACTGGAGCAGAGGAGTCATCAGTAGGCTGTGGCCCCGTGTCAATTTCTGCCCCCAGGAGGGAGCAGGCTTGCCAGTTTCATGACTCAAATTCTGCATTTTGAGGGTTCTGCAGTCTTCTTTGAGGCTGATACCTGGTCAGGGGTATACAATACAGCCCTAAATTGGCTTTGGTGGGCAGGCAGAGCAGCTGAGTGGCTGCTGGGGTGTCCTGGTGTCCAGAGGTGCTGCGGACTCTACTGTGAGCTGTGGTTGGTGGCAGCAGACCAGGCCTCTGGGCCAGGCAATGGAGAGGGAATCTATGAAAAGTGTGACTTCAGGACCAGTGCCGGTCCCTCTGGTGCCTTAAAACCAGGGATCCCAGCATTGAAAGCGCCCCTGGTCCCGGGTGACCCCAGATGCAGCGCGTCTGCAGTCCAGCCTGCCGTTCCTAGTTGCCTGGCTAGATGGACGGAGTCTGGCCAGCTTCATTGTAAGCATCCTTCACCCCCTGCTCCTGGGGCGGGTCCTCTTAGGTGCTGGGGACCCTGGCATGGGGCTCTGGGGATCTCCAACCTTGCTGCACTGGCTCTGCTCCTGCTCTCTTGGGAGGATGTTTGCTGTCCCCGCACTGCGGCTTCAGCAAAAACCCACACTGGATGGAAAGAAGCAGGGCTAACCTGGGCACCAACCCACCGTCATCCGGCACCACACGCAGTGCCGCGCGGTGACACTCTGGTAGCACTTGATACTTTTGTGGCACCGGTCACACTTGACGGAGGAGTTCCCTTCCACCCACGCGTGCTGCATCACCTGTGGGAGGGAAGCGGAGGATACCAGGGAAGGCAGCAGAACAAGGCCCTGGGCCCAGGGCTGCAGAAAGTTCTGGCAGGGGCCCAGGTGCGGGAGGGCTGCAGTGGGTGGCATCCTACTTAGTGACTGCTGGGCGGGATGCTGGTCCTTCTCTGCCTAATCGTGCAGTGCTAACCAAGGTGGCATCCAAACCACTCTGTCTGAATTCTGCACTGCTTGTTCACCCTGGCAGGCACCTCTGAGTGGGCCCTCATCGGGCAGTCCGTCCAGCTGTCTGTCCTTGCAGAACTCCCTGTGGAGTGACGGGCTCAGCACAGTGAGGAGCGGGGCACAGGAGAGCTTGGGCCACAGACAAATTTGGTTGGAGTCAGTGATTTTGCATGTCACAGCTGGGTGGCCTCGGGCCAGTTCCTGGACTTCTCTGAGACTCAGGTCCCTCACCTGTAGAAACTGGCATGCTAAGTCCCCCAACTGGGCTTGCTGGGAGGACGTGGTGAGAAGATAGAACACTGGAAATCAGGTGTCCCTGGAGCAGTCGCCACCTTTTGGAGGCAGTCGGGTAACTCCTGTCCCCCTTTTCAGCCTTTGCTGCACCTTACAAACCATCGAGGGATTTTCTAGACTTTATAGTGTCCACCCCACACTCCGGACAAGTCAGAGTCTCTGAAGATGGCACTAGCTGTAACGGGGGTGGGGGGGCATCATCTCACCGACATGTTTTAACACTGTTGGGGGGCACATATGTAGTCGACGTCCAGAAGCACTCTTGAAGGAGGTCAGTCAGGAAGTTCAAAGAGCTCATTAAGGGCCCTCCGGGCCTCTCATAGTTGCTCTCTGGAGAGCTGGTTTTATCTACTCCTTGGCCAGGAAACGCCACCAACTCGGGCTGGGAACTCAGGAAGCAGGTTGTGCATGTGTGTCTGAGTGCAGCTTAAAGTGACACCACTGTCTAGGAGCTGGGGCCCTTGGCTCTTTCCCCCTGGAACTCAGGGGAACTGTCTGAAAATTTCACCAGGGTACCTGAGTGGCAGCAGGAAGTGGATGTGGACCCTGTAGGAAAGGTGGGGGCACAGCCTGAAATGCTCAAATTCAAGCACAATTTTAAAAACATGAAATAATTTGCATGATCCTATCTGTGTTTGCAGTAAATAAAAAGAAATGTTTTAAATTACATAACAATTAAGTTGTGGGATGCTTCCTACAATTTAAGAAAGTTTTTGGTAAGAATTATTGCTCCAAAAGATGGGTCCCATTTGGTTTGTAGCTTTTCACCTTCTGCCACACACCACTGAGGGTACAGAAACTTTGTCACATTAATCTATTTGACAACTGCGTGGTCACGGTGGCTTTGGCCTGAGATAATTATTATTCCCTTTTTGGGGAGGGAAAAACCTGAGGCTTTAGTGAGCATGAGGACCAGGCCCAGGTTCTAGACTGTGCGAGGCCAAGCAGTGGTCCACAGCCAGATCTTCTGACTCTAACCCAGGACAGAGATCCCAGCACCATGTTCCCTTCTCCAGTCTCTCGGGGACCTGAAGAGATGGTGAGGGACCTGGGCTGCCTCTGTGTGCTCACAAGGTTGAGTGTCCCCTTCCTCTGTCCCATGTGCCAGGCAGCCAGAGTGTAGCTACAAAGCCTGAAGCTGGGTGGCACACTGTGTGTACCGGTGGAAGGCATGGTCATGGAAGGGCGTGGATGGGGTGGTGTAGGTGACATCAGAGACAGGCCATGCAGTGTCCATGGGGCATGCATGCAAGTCCTTGGAGATCCCTCTTTCTTGGGAGGCTTCTGCAGGGTGGCTGGGCTGGCACTGCTCTCACCTGCTCACTGTCTCCTGACTTGGATTCCTTGGTGGAATCTTCCCTGTGCTGCAATGCAGAGCTCGTGTCCCCTGATTTTAAGGACCACTACTCCTAGACTCTGTGAATGGCACTGCACAGTGGCCAAGATAGAAGCTGGGAGCCAGTCTCTACCTCTCCCCTGTCCTCCTAAGCATCTCTGTCACCAGTGTGGCAGGCATCTCCAAATTACCTCTCAAGCTTTCCCTCTGCCTTCCCTGCATTAGCCTAGGGGGACAGTCAGAACACTCCACGGTTGGCTTAGGAGAAGCTCAGCGCGAACCCAGGTAAGATCATGCTACAGAGGATGTAAACGGACCCTCAGCGTGGCACCACCTTCAGCTTTAAATATTAGCAGAATTTCTCTCTATTTCTCTCCTACTCTATGCTCAGAACAATTCACCTAATCTGCAAATGGAATCATCTCTGTTTTCAGAAGCTCTTCAATGATTCCCAAATCTGCAAGAGAAACTGCTTCTAGTTTCTCTCCTTGACTCATGAGATCTCACTGTCTTCAGAGCACATCTCCTGACTTTCCTTTAAGTCTCTGTCCCAGTCACACCCAACTAAGTAGGGACCCCAGAACGAGCTATGACTCCATGTCTTTATGCACCTGGGAGTAGGGTAGGGTGGGGAAGCGCTCTACATGGAGTGCCACATGAAATCCTTCTGACGCCAGTTCAAGGCACAAACCAAATGCCACCTTTGTGAAACTTGCCCTGATTTCTACCCCGTGCCTCTTCTCTCAGTTCTGCACGGCCCTATCATGACAGCTTGCATCTCACTACTTTGTATTCCGCTTACATGCTTGTGTCTCTCTGAAGACTGCAGAGCCCCTGAGCAGCTGAGGACCATCTCTTAGAACCTGTGTACCCCTGGGGCAGTGCCTGGCACACGATGGGTGCTGGGATGCTGAATGGATGGATGGATGAGCAGGATGGTTTAAGGGTGGTCCTTGAGGCATAAAAAGGCCTGGAGAAAGCTCCCAGAGCCCCTGCCTGCCGTGGAGCTCATGATGATGGACATGTTGTCCCGGATGCAGCATGCAGTAGAACAGGGCAGTAGGTGTCACCAACCTCGCCACTCCTTTTGGCTTTTGAGCACGTTTTGACACACGCAGGGATGTTTTTGGATACACAACGTTCGTGGACTGTGTATTTACAGTCTGAAAAAAATATAAGGAATGTGCTTGTGAGTGACACTGGTCACCATCCCACCCTAGCCAAGGCCTGTACTTCCTGCTGGGTGGCTGGGCAGAGACAAGGCATGTACGGAGTTGGTCTCCCCTGCAGGAAATTCAACTGACTCTCATTTTTCCTTGAGCGGAGTCCCCAGCTAACCCCCATTCCGCTCTGCACCTCCACCTTGCACAGTGGTTCCACTATGGAGAGGAAATTGTCCCCAGATAGGAGAGTACGTGGTGCCCTCAGGCGGGCTAGGCCAACGTGTTGGGGATGGTGGGGAGGGGGGAGAAAGGCCAGAGGTCTCAAACAAGGCACAGCCTGATCTTTGGCTCCGCCATCTGTCACAATCCCCTTGGTCCTGGATAAATTGTTTGCGCTTGCTGAAATCCAGGGAATCCTGTAACACGTGAATGATCGGGCCTCTTTTTTTCTTTTCAAGGATTTGGCAGCATTGCACGGTTTGATCTGTGTGAAGCCGTGCATGCCTGGGTCAGCACCGGTGTCCCATGAATTATCACTGTGATTGTTGCTATTATTAGGTGAATGGCAGAGACCCATAGGCTTCAAACTTATAGGCATGAGAATGGGCGGATGAAAAAGTGGATGAGAGCGGAATTTGCAAGGGAGCGGAAGGATTAGTGGAATCTCTCTCTCTCTCTTTTTTTTTTTTTTTTTAGTTTTCTGGTGTTTGCTCTTGCTGGACCGAGGGCCCAGCTCCACTCAGGAGTCCTTTGTGGCTGAAGTGACAGGTGCATGTTAAAGGAAGGACTTCAGGGACCTGGACCCTGCAGAGGGGCCTCTCTGCACAGCACTCTCCAGTCTCTGGGGTTCCACACCACGACATGGTTGTCACACTTCAGTGCACCCCCATACTCGGGCCCCGAGAAGCCTTGTCACTGCGGCCGCCTTCCCCTGTCCTTCTCTTCCCCGTCTCCTCTTCTTTCCTGTATCACACTTTCTCATTCCTTCCGTCTCCTTCTCCTGTTTACCTTTTCAGTCTCCCTTTTGCCTTTCTCTCCTGTCTTTCCCTTGTAATTTTCCCGCTTTGATTTACTAAATAAGATTATGAAGTGAAACACATTTTAATTCCTGATGCATTTACATAATGCAGAATAGAGTACGCTGCTTAGCTTATTAAAAAGAAGGGGCCTCTGGATAAACCTGAAATAAACATTGACTAAAAAACCCAGCTAAGAGTATGAGGTGACTTTTAATTGTTCATATATATACTTTAATCATTCTTTCCAGGAGATCACTGGTCCCTCACCCCAACAAAAATACAAGTCTTGCCCATTTGACTTGGTAGAGCCGAAACGGCACAGAGAGGTCTTGCTTTATGCCCTGCTGCTGGAACACGAGCGGTGCCCCCCAACCCCCGAGACTCGAAAGCCTGCGTTTTCCAGGAATGGCTCCACCGGTCAAAGGAAACATAACAGAGTGCCTGGGCCAACGGGCTGCGGGGAATTTCACTCACAAATGCAGCTCAGGCCTTGCTTCCGGACCCCCATCAGCATGAGGTGGCAGAAGTTGCAGTAGGTTGGCTTCTTAAAATGCTTCAGGGTCCAGGCGTGCCTCCCGTCCCACTTGGAGACCTGAGGGGTGACAGGAAGTGAGACTTGAGGAGGCCATCCCCAGCTAGAAGAAGCCAAGGTCACCTTGTGCTCTTCTTTCTTTCTCAATAAAACCTGATCTCATAGGGACTGGGGATTTAGCTCAGCGGCATAAGCGCCTGCCTTGCAAGCAGGCAGTCGTGAGTTCGATCCCCGGTACCGATAAAAAGGAAAACCTGATCTCATAGTCGGGAAGCAAATTCCTATGTTTTTTTTGGGTACTGGGAATCGAACTCACGACCTCATGTTTGCCAGGCAGGCACTGTGCTGCTGAGCTATATCCTTGCCCTCAAATTACTTTCTTTTTAAAAAAATACAAGCAAAACCAAAGTTGTTTGTATTTTCTAAAATTCATAAATACTACTGACAAGGAATATCAGGATGGGAGTGTGGGAGGAATTAAAAAACCCTTCTTGTACATGGCCGGCAGCAGAGTGAATTAGAACAATTTACTCTATCATTTGTCTGTCTGTATCGACCTATAGCCACCATTTGTTTATTTAAAGATTCTTTAAATGTGTACAAACTTTGACTTTCCAGTCTACCTTCTTGGACTATATCCCAAAGAAATTAAGTTTTAAGAGAGATGAACAGTTTTTTCTTTTTCTTTTTGCTCTGCCAGATATTTAACGCAGAATTATTTAAAACAATGAAAAATGGCCTAAAGGTCTCCAAATAACTAAAAGGTTAGTTGTGACACATGTATATGAGTTAAGGTGAGGTGGCAATAAAAACTTACCTATCTAAACTTATCTAGTGCTATGCAAATATACTTGAGATACAATGCTAAGTGAAAAAAACCAGAATGCAAATGTATGCTATTTAATGATCTCAGTTTTAAGTAATACCTTTGAAGGGAAGAGATTTCACTGTCTGTCAGTACAGATTAGCTGGAGCTGGTGATGCTATGTGTTCTTTTTTTCAGGCTGAAACCAGGGTCTCGAGCATGCAGGGCAGGCACTCTCCACTGAGCTACACACTCAGCTCTATGCATGCATTTTACTCTCTCGTTTTCTATTTTCTTCTATAGTCGACTATATCAGGAAAAACAATGTACTCCTGTACCAACCCACTGCACGCAGATAAAATAGTGAGCAGAGAAAGAGAGAGAATGGAATCACTTCTTTCTGATGGGCTCAGAAGCAAAACCATCCTCATGCACCAGCTAAAACGCACCTTACACAATGACACACTTTCCTTGGAAAACAAAGTCTCTCAGCTTCTGGACCCTGGAAGCACAGTCTGGCTGGAAGCTGGAGCTTTGGGGGACATTTCTCTTGGCAAATGCCAGTCCTGCACCTTTCTTATAGGCTCCAGCACTAGAATAATGCTCAGGCTGGTTTGAAGGGCAGTGAAAACGGTCTGCAATGAGTCCAGTGTACTTGACCCAAGGCCAGTCCTTAATTGGGGCACCTTTGCCTTGGCTCTGCTGACCACAGCCAGACCTGCTCTGGACTCAGGGTTCTGCTGTGGTTTCTGGAGGAGCCCATGCTCTTTCCCAAGCACTAGTCTCCTCTTTGAGGCCAGTGAAATTGCCTCACTTCACCTCCAAGACCTATTTCATCTAAGACCTGAACTTTATAGAATTAAAGACCCTTCTTCTTCCTATGGATTCACAAACAATGAGTCACCAAAAGACTGACCGATTCATTTATTTGGCAAACACCTACCTCTAGGGATGTTTTTGAGTGGGGGGTAAGAATTACATAGTGCAAGGACATCTCCTTATTCATTTCCAGACACATGGTCAATGAAAACTTTTATTACAATCTTATTTCATACTAGCTGCTGGGGAACACAAAAATAACAGTGTATGTTTGCAAGTTAGGCGGTAGATTTATTCCTAGTCTACAAGTGTGACTCTGAGAAGTTACACAACTAGTTCAAGCCCACAGATGACAGGTCGGCGGTCACACTGGGGGCTTGGATGGCTGAAGCTCCTCCTTCTCAGTGCAGGGGTTTCTTTTATGAGCTGAATGGCTTCTTCATGCAGCTCAAAGGACTCTCATTTTAACAGACAACACCTCCATGAACCAAGTCATTTAGGTGACGTTCCCACTTCTTGCTGCTTTCACAGCTATCAGAAGTAAATGGGGCCCTTCCAGGGGGAGAACCAGCAGCAGCTCCTGAGATCCACGCCATGTTGGAACTTAGGACACTGGGAAGCCAAGCAAGCACCTCCCCTCCCTGGTAAGTGGTGGTGGTCTGGCAGATTGCAGCCCTACCAGGGGGAGAACCAGCATTGTCTGCTGAGATCTATGCCATGTTGGAGCTTAGGACTCTGGGAAGCCAAGCAAGCACCTCCCCTCCCTGGTAAGTGGAGGCAATGGGCAGACTGCAGCCCTTCCAGGGGGAGAACTAGCAGTGCCTCCTGAGATCCACGCCATGTTGGAACTGAGGATGCTGTGAAACCAAACAACCAGCCTGCCTCCTTGCTAAGCAATAGTGAACCTACTGATGCTGATGCACGGCCTAGAGCCAAATATCCCATCCCCCCCCCCCCCCATTAGCAAATGGGAACCAGAAATCTGAGTGTCTCCTGGGAGGCTGACATAGCAAATAAGGGGGACTTCCTTCTACCACCTCTTTGAAGGCAAATATTTTTATTACTGTTTTGCTCTTTTCTGATTAATGGTACTGCTCTATTCAATATTCTGTTTTAATAAGTTCTATAGTGTTCTATATTTCATCTCATTTTGATATACGGGATTGAAAGAACAACTATTATATTATAAAGATAACAAAATATACTGTGATACCTATAACTGTTATCCCGGTAACCTGCTGTGAAGTTCTGTACCAGTTTCACTGTACAATGTTAGTTGGCTTTATTCTGTCTTGTTCTGTTGTATACTTTCAAAAACAAAAAAAGTAGTAAACGGACCAGGAAGGAATAAAGACACATTTCTGCCTGGGTTACAGCACCATCATGTGGCTCTTTCAGTTCTGCACAGTGCAGGCTGCCACGTGGGCGGGGCTTTCCTGACAAACACCACATTCCAGGCCGCTGCTGCGATTTCCTCAGAAAGGCTGTTTTGCATCGATCCCCTTTCGAGATTCCCAGATTCCTCATTGGTCATCCGTGGGTTCTGAGAAAGCTGAGCAAGCACTAGGACATGGATGGAGGCTTTCTCTAAAACTCCTGATAGTACACGCTAAACATTTATTCATACCTATTTAAAAACAGATGCATAACGTGCTCGAGGAATAAAAGCTAAGTTTACCTTTGTTTTTGCTTCCCACTTTTCTGATGTACATGATGGTTTTCTACAGGGCAGATGTAGCATTTGGCAGAGACACTGGCATGCCAATCTGAGTGTAATCTTGAGTGAAGGTTGGCTGTAGAAGTCTATCTGACTTCTCTGTGTGAGCACCTGGCTCCTACGGGTTCTTGTACTGAATGATATGATGTGTGCCCATGGGCAAGCTCTCAGCCTCTCTGGGCCTCTCTGTAGGACAGACAACACAGACCCAGGGATATTTCCAGCTTAAACTTTTCCAGGAAAGTTCTAAGGAAAAAGAAAGCAATTGTGCTGGTCTTTGATTTCTACTTAGCACTCAGAAGGAGCTGGATATGCCGTGAGATGATGGTAGGATTCTTAGATCTTGAGCTTTGGGAATGAGGGCTCAGCTTTAGTCTTGAATTGCAGCACCGTTGGAAATACAGACCATAAGAGTCAGCTAGAAGCGAACCCAACTCTTACTTCCTGTTTTGTTTCTCTCTCAAAGAGGTGTAGTCATATAACCGCGGTGACTCTCCTGGTAAATGCTTAACGTCACCATTTGTGCTTCCCCCAGCTACAATCTTCCATGCTCATGTATAGCAGAGTTCACTTGGGAAGTAAGCAGGAAACCCAGCAATTGACTCCATTAGATGCAGGCATAATATAACCGCTGATTTCACCTTGAGCCTTTACACATCCCCTCCACTCTCCTTTAATTTGGAGATGTCCCTGAACTCGCTCGCCTTCCTTTGGGTTTTTGATCAAGTCATTCTCCCTGCCCTAAATTCTGTCCTCTGCCATTTTCACCAGAATGAACCCTGGGAGGCAGGGTTCAGACATTCACCTAAATCTTTCCACCTGAACTTTATTCTCAGGAATGGGATATCCTAATCTTATTTGTTCTTTAAAAACAGGTCAAACACCATCCAAGGCTTCTTCCTGCTGGTTGGATGTCATGTGGGGGATGTTAGAAAGTGCAGGGCTCTAGAGTCAGGTACAAATCCTGGCTCCTTCTTTGCTTTTTGGGCTCAAAATCTCAGGTTTTCATCTCTATAAATTAGGATAGAAACACCTCTCAATTTTTTGTTTTGTTAAGAGACCATTAATGAAATTCCCTCTCAACACATCAGCATTTTGTCCTCTTTCCTCTTCCTCCCCCAATTCTTTTAACACTCTACAACATGATATTTTGTAAAGATAGGAATTTCCCTTGATGTTTCTTTTACACTTTGCCTGGTTGAGTATATGCTTCTCCCAGGCAAATACTATGTGTCTATGGCCTCTCATGACAGGCAAATACTATGTGTCTATGGCCTCTCATGACAACAATATTGTCATTCAGTGACAGTTTGGCAAATGTGTGTTTTTACATAGGAGCAGGTCAGAGGGATGAGACTAGGGAGGACTTTGCACCAGCCCAGGCACAAAGCATGCCCATGGGGACGTCCAGGGCAGACTACAACTGTGGACATGGATTCTGACATCCCTCAAAAGCAAGGGCGCTTTGAGCTCCAGCGTGACTTACAGTCTCATCCATCCCCAGGAGGACCAGCAGTGGAATGGTGGTCATCCCTCCATGGACCCACTCCTGCAGAGACACGAAGCCGTCCCGGTCGTAGTCCATCTCTTGCAACATCTCCTTTAATATCTGTGGAATAGAAGGGCAACTGTCTGCCTCCATCCTTGGCTTTTCTAGCCACCCCTTCTGGCCTCTGCTTGATCTTTGGTCCAATGTTACTCATCTTTGCTTTTGCCCTTTGCCCTCTTATTTAGAAAATGAGGGACCTGGCAAGAAGTGAGGACCCCAGGGTCCTCCATCCGACTCAGCTCTGGCCTGGCTGTGTGGCCTTGGGTGTTTCACCCCAGTGCCCTGGGCTCTGGGTTGCTCATCTGGAGAAATGAAAATGACTTTGCAGCTTGCAGCACTGTGATAAGTATCAGAGAAAATATACATAAATGTGTGTATCTAATGTATATAAATGTATCTAATATTTGACATATTAGAATCCTACCATGTAATTATTGTTGTCATTGATATCATTTGGTGATTAAAATAGCTCTAAAATTGCTTCTGGCTCTGAATACTTTGATCTATGAATTTCTGTGATGAGACTTTCTGTGGGAAAGGTAAAAGGAAACTTTGATTTCTGTGCAAATGAAAGGGTTTTCACTGGTGCTGCCTACGTTTTTTTCTATCAGAGACTGTAGGAGGGAGGGCCCCAAAGAAGTGGCAGGTAAGACGAGTCTGGGAACACCTGCACGGGAACACCAGCCTCCCCTTACACTTCAGATGCTCGCTCTGACGTCTCCCCGTGCTTACAGAAACTCACAGGTCTTAGCTCGGTGGGATCCCATTCCAGGTACTGGGCAACATGCAGCATTTGGTTGACAATGCGATCCATTTCCTAGAACATAGCAAGAGGTGATGCGTTATCAAGAGCAAAACTCAAAACCAAATCCAGGGGGAAGTCAGGCAGGGCAGGGGAGGAGACGCTGGTGCAGTACACTGGCACTTCATGACCAGCTCACTGCTTGTGTCTGCCTTGGCCAGAAAGCCCAGCGGACAGCAGAGGAAGCACAGAGCATGGGTTAGCAAGGGACTCAGCACGCTCCCTGAATGGTGACCTCCTCATCTGGCCCAGCTTCCTTGGAAAACATTTCCTCCTTTTTTCTCTTTTGTCATCAGAACTCCCACAGGTACTTACAAACTAAGGTGCTCTTTCCCCTCTTTTCTTAACACTCCTCACCTGCACAATTTTAGCAACTCAAGCCCCATCTACCTCCCCCAGGGCCGGTTTTGCTTGATTACTGTGTCTGTCCTAGCTCAGGCACGATGCTCTGGATCCTTTCTGGCAGCTCCTCTCACCTTTACACTATGATCCATCCCTGAGCCCAGGACCCTCTGACAGGAAATAGAAAGTGCATAAAGGATATATTTGCCTGATGAGTGAGCCTTTCATGGCCAAGACCAGGTTCCAGCTAAAATCTCACAGTGTTAATGAGTGAGGGTGCAGAAAACCTTACTGGAAACATATCAGACCAAGGAGTACTCGGTGTCATACTTGGCATCTTGCGTGGGGAGAGCATCTAAAATTGCTCTGGATGGACAGGTGGATGGACTGAAGCAAATTCAAAAAGTATTACCTTCACTGGGAAGAAATCTGGGTCAAAACAAGCAAGCTAAAGCCTGAGAGGCAGTTACAAAATTACATTGCACTTAAATTAAAATAATAATCCCACGTCAAAAGTACAGGATGCAATAGTAAACAAAGATAAGGAAGTGGGTAGAAAAACGTATGAACTTGCCCAGGATGGATATTTAGAACTGTCTCATAAGAAAGAATGTAGGAAAAGGGAAATTCTAACTTGGAGAAAATTTTAGGGAAATGTCATAGTATCTTGAAGTATTCAAAGGCCTGTGGTATGCCTCTGGCTTGATCAGCTACCAGGGGAAGTCGGAAGCTGAGGGATGGAGAAAATGAAGGACTTTGGGACCAGCCTGTTTTGACCTGCCTGCCAGGTTGTGGGGAGAACGGGGAGCAGCAGGTGCGGTGATGAAAACTTCCCCGGGCAGACAGGCGTGTTCTCTCTCACCTCCTCCAGCCTCTGTTCAGATGTCCCCTCCCAGGGAGACCTTCCTTGGGAACCAGAGCCAAAGCTCAGACTCCATCCAGTACGTCCTTTCCCTCCTTTGGCTTTCTCTTCGGGACACACCTCTACCAGCTCATCTTTTGCTATGCAGCGTGGTGTCCAGGCTTGGATGAGAATGGAAACCGCGAGGAGGAAGGGAATTCCACCACCGGGCTACCGTGTTGTACCCTCAGGGCTTAGCACCTGACGAGTGTGGCAGACACCCGGGGAACAAGGGCTGACCAAATGCTCCAGAGTTGGACAAAGTAGTCGGTCCCTCAGATGCCTCAACCTGCAGCTTTGTGATGCTGCAGGAGGTGAAAGGGGTCCCACAGAGGCGCCCACATGTAGAGGAAGCTGGTATCTTTCAGTTGGCCCAGCAGAATTCCTTCCTCCCTCCATTCCTCCCCTTTTTTTCCTTCCCTCCTTCCTTCTTTCTTCCTAACTCCTTCCTTTCTACTTCTTTTCCTTCCTCCTCCCTTCCCACCTTCTTCCTCCCTCCTTCCTCTCTTCCTTTTCCTTCCCTCCTTCTTCTCTTTCTCCCTCCCTCCCTCCCTCCCTTCCGCCCTCTGGTCTGACTCAGTCCCACCCCTTAACCTTGCAGCCTTCTAGTTAAGCTGATGGCATTACCAGTCTGACTCTGGCATTACCAGTCACGACCACAGGCCTGTCTGACTCTATGTCCCTTCCCCTCGACCTGCTTCCTTTTCTCTTCTTCCTCTCCCTCTCTGATTGCTGATCGGTCCCTGACTCTTCTGAAGGGGTGAGTGTGTGTCAGGTCTCGGATGTGGGAGCTCATGTCCAGAGCAGAGACAGCCTCCTAGGCTCGGGTGTGGGAAGGAGACAAAGCCAACGGTGATGCCAGAGCCCACCAGGAGGAGCCTCCCTTCCTTCCTGACACCCTCCTCTTGCCCTTGGGGTCCAATAGGAAGTTTCAGAGGAAGCTTGTGAATGGGGAAGTTAAATTAAAAGAATGAATAAAACATTTCCTTATTTCAAGATTGCATGATCCCTGGCTTCTGGAATGAGGACAACTTCAGCTCGTGCTCTGTAGAGCTGGCTCTTTGGAATGAGAAGGCGAGGGGTTCTGCTCAGATTTTTGCACTCTATCTTGGGACACTGAATTCCCTATGAAGAGAGAGCTGCGCGTTTTCAGATTGTTCTCCACTCCCCCAGCCTTTCCCAGATCCAGAGGTGATATTTAGGATCAGAGCTTACCACTTGGTCCAGGAGTCCATTCTCATCCGAATCATAGAGACGAAACATGACTGCAAGAAGCACAGAGGTCAGGCTTGAGGTGTCCTCCGGGAGCCAGGGATGGGCTGAGGTTTTGGTGCCACTAGGGTTTGCAGTGTCCAGGTCAGTGCTGCGACCTCACGGGGGTGAAAGCTGCTCTAGCCAGCTTGGCTTCCTCCACCGGGTGGAGTCTGACTTCCTTACTCACAGGGTCAGAAAAGGGAGGGGAAGCAAGCCTGGCTGGGCAGAAGCCCTGTGTCTGATGAGATCCGGGCTTTACAAGTGGCCTCCCTGCCCCAGGGCACGCATTCCCTGAATACAACCCAGAGCAGTGTCCCTAGCTTTCATTTGCACGCAGAATGGCTGTGGAGTTAGGCAGACTTACACCCTGGTGTGCTCCAGCTTCTAGGCTGTGAATCAGGTTATCTCTCTTCTTTGGACTCTGTTTATCTGTAACATGGGCATTACAGTCGCTTCTTTCTCCTAGGGATATTATGAAGACTAACACCACTGGCACTCCAAACTGAAAGTGCTTGTATACAAAGTACTTGGCAAAAGTTATCTGTTTTTATTTACTTTTATTAATGAACATTTACATATAGCCTTTCATGTGTATCGGGCACCGCTGTATGCACTTTATCATTATTACTTAACTGTCAGTAATCCTAGGAGTTAGTAACTATTATGGAAGCTGTTACGGGTTGAATATCCCTGTTCAAAAACTTCAGACCTGACATATTTTGGATTCAAAAAAAATCTGAAATGTATGCACATACCTAATGAGATATTTAGGGGATAGGACCTGAATTTTAAGCATGAAATTCATTACTGTTTCACATGAACCTTATACAGGAACCCAAAGGTAATTTCCCCAATGCTTTGAGTGCATTTGCATGTTGAATGACCTGTCACAGAGTCAGGTGTGGAATTTTCCGTGTGCAACATATCAAGGCTCAAACGTTTCAGATTTTGGAGCAATCTAGACTTTTGATTTTCAGATTAGGGATGCTCGACTGGTATGTCTTTGGTCTTAAAATGTCAATATGCTGTTCATCTTTGATCATGTTCTAGCTGCAGGGAGGAGGTGTAGCTGAGGAAGATCTGGCGGGGAAATCTGGACTGACAACTAGACGAAGACCCCGTTAATTCATTCAAGAGGCAGGGACAGGGTCTCTGTGGTCCCTGTGGTAAGCAGGGAAGGACACAGAGAGAAGCACTTCTTCTGCTGCTGCTTATTCTTTAAACTCGTCATCACACCTGCTTTCCTGGTGGCTCCCCCTCCCACTGACCCTGCTCTGATGTGACTCCTTTGGGTCTCTCAGGGCACACTCACCTGGTCACTCTAAGCTGCCTTTGTGTCATCATTTCTACTATGTGTTTTAATGTTCCTGTATCTTGTATTTTTTTCAGTGATGTGTACCTGATTGCAGTCATAAATTCTTTAAAAATAGGATTTTGAGGGGCTGGAGATATAGCTCAGTGGCATAAGTTCCTGCCTGGTAAGCACAAGGTCCTGCGTTTGATTCCTAGTACAAAACCAAAACCAAGAAACAAACACACACACACACACACACACACACACACACACACACACACATACACACACACACACACACACAGGGTTTTGATTCTTTGTGACTCCTCAGAAGGTCCCGGTCAGGGGCATGCAGCGTACGCTGCTCACTTCCTGGACAGATGGTCGAATGATATAAAGAAGGACAGAGCTTCCCATCAGCCTTGTTCCAGGACTCTGGGCACGGTGACTTTCCAGCACCGACCCCCTCTGGCCCTGTGGTGCATAAATAATAGAACCAGAAATAGCGGGGGAGGCTACTGTTTGTTGGAGAGTCCTCGAGAAAGCCCTTTTTCCCTCCTGTAAAATGAGACTATATCATCCTCCCAGAGTTACCATATGCCTAACATAAAAATGCATACATAAAATGTTTAGCAAATATAAGATGCTCTGTGATAAGCATTATTATTGCAGGGACAGTGCATAAGATTTCAGGTTATTACTTCCAAAGACAAACATATGTAATTTTAAAAAGAACTTAACTTGTTTTCAATCATTAAAATTAAGGAAGGAGACGAATTGATGTGATTAAATAAAAAGCAATCCAAAATGAAAACTACAGAATGAATGGTTAAATTTCTCCAATAAAAAGTTGCAAGGAAAAAACAGCTACAGATAGGAAATTAAAAGATTAAGAGGTTGCAGAGACAATTTTAACTAAAGGCAGTGTATAGACTGACTTTATTTGGAGCTTAATTCAAAGAATTAAAAATATGTAAAATAATTGGGAGGATAGGAATACAGGCTGAGTATTTGATCATAGTAAAAAAACAATTTTTAGATGTGGAAATAGTGTTATGGTTCTATTTAACAGTCTGTAGTTTTAAAGGTACATAGTGAAATATTTACAGAGGAAATTGTTTGATACCTAGAATTTACTTCAAAATAATCTGAGGCAGACAGAATAAGAGGGTGGTACAAATAAAACAAGACTGACCATGACTTGATAATCATTGAGGCTATAACATATGCATACAGATAATCTATCTATACAGATGCTCAATGTATTCTCTTTCTCTGCCTTTGAAATTTTCTGCAATAAAAATTTTTTCCTGAGTCAGGGTTATGCTCCATAGTTCAAACTGGCCTTGTACTCACTATGTAGTCCAAGCTGACCTCAAACTCACAGGGACCCTCCTGCCTCAGTCTCCTGAGTGCTGGGATTATAGGCAGGTGCCAGGATGCCTGGCTTTACAATAATAACCTTGAAAGATTTTTTCATTGCCATTTCAAGACTCAGTCTGCAAGTTACCAATAGGAATTTTCTGGCACATTGTCTTTGACAGTTACTAAGGAATACAAACCTGAGCCTCAGTGCAGCTGCTTGTTGGAAATAATCTGACATTTCACTTTTAATATTAGCCAGGAGAAAGCAGAAATCTGCTACATTTGTTACCAAATTAGCACTTACAACTTGCAATTGTTAACACCTCAAACCTATGGGGAAGATTTTAAGCTAATGAGCAAACTGTTTCATTTTGGTTTTTGCAGAGTTAACCTCTGGCAGACTTCCCTTGTTAATGTTTGATTTGTTGACTGGTCTTATTATTAACTGGAAGTTTGACTTCCACTAGAGTATGTTTTTTCTTACTATCTACTTAAATTCTCAAGAGAAGCAAAGACAATATATATTTTTAACTAAGGTCCTATTGCCTCCTGCTCTAACAAGTGTGCCTGCAGGCTTCCCGAGGTTGGTGAACACATCTTTTTGGGTTGAACCTTCTTCAAGACCACAGGTTTTTCCTGCCCCTGGCACTGACTTTCTACTTGAGGATATCTTTTGGAAACTAAGTTTGCAGCACTATGAAACCAAGCTCAACTCTAATGAACTAGTCTGCTTGGTCTAGAGACTAAAGACCTTGGAGGTCTGGGGTGAGTAGAGAAGTGGAAATATTCCTTACCAAAACGGAATATCCATAGATCTCAATGCAAAGTAATCCTCATGGTTAAGAAATGCTTGTTTACAGAATGGGGGAAGGAGGTCAAATGCGGAATATCTGAAAAATCTGTTAGGAGGAGGAGGAGGAAGAGGAGGAGCAGCATCTAATTGGTGGCTTTCAGGAAGTCCCAGCTGCCAAGCAGAGGAGTCGAGACTCCTTGATGGGAACCACTTCTCTTCCCAAACTCTGGTTGTCTAAGCCAGGGTCTCGGGTGCCCTTCCTACCCTATATACAATCAGTACTGTGTTCTAGGGAGGATTCTAGATAATGTGGCTTTTATCACTGCTGGTGAAAGGACAGAGAAACCTTCCCCAAAGAGGCAGGATTCAGACCCATGATGCCAGATTGATGTCCCGCGTGTTAAGGACCCAGTTCCTCCTCTAGGAGAAGCTCGAAGCCCTTGGTGGGAGGAGCACTTACATTCTAGCTTATCCTGAGGTCTCCCGGTCTCCAGGAGGGACAGGTAGCACATGACATCCTTCAGGTACACGACAGGGGATTCTGAGCTGCAAAGTTCAGCAGTGGGGTCTCCCAGGGGGGCTGCAGCCACTTGGCTTTTAGCTGGTATTTGCTTCTCAGTCACCTTTGACTCTGTGATGAATTCAAGCATTTCATGTTTAGAGACTGTTCACCACCCCTTACGCATCCTCTTTAGAAAAATACCAGGATTTTATATGGATGTTTCCAGAAGCTTGACATATAGATACGATCAGATCAGTAGCCCTAAAATCCTAGTCTGGAGATTAACTTCTCTGCTAGGACCTCAGACCAACCCTTTAAAAAGCCTGTTCCCAGCTGGGAATGGACTGTAATCCCAGAACTCTGGGAGGCTGAGGCCGGAGGATCTCCAGTTCAGAAACTTAACTAAAATAAAAATAAAAAATAGCTGGGGATACAGTTCAGTGTGAAGCCCTGAATTCAAGTTCAATCCCCAGTACCATACACACACACACACACACACACACACACACATCTGGCCTATTTCCTTGCAGGAAATTAATCTATTTTCTGTCAATTTTCAGAGAAGATGATAGTGACTCTTGGTAATACAGTAGTCAAAGGGTAAATGTCATTCAGCCTACTTTTTTGGAAACCATCTAATTTAGCGAACTAGTTTCCACTGGGCTTTCAAAATAGTATAATGATTAATCCTTATTTACCAATATTCCCTCTCATAATTTTATTCTCAAGTACATGTAAAGACAAATAAATGAATATTCCAAAGAGAGAACAGGGACTGATAATTAACTAATTTTCAGAAACTGGAAAGGACTTTGACTAATTGTAACACTAATCACATGTAGAAAATGATTTATTGTATTACAAGAAAAGAGTGAGTTTCTCTCCAAAATTTTCCCCCTAGGAAACATTTTTGACTCTCGTACTCCATCTTGTAGCTCAAAAATATCAGATCTATTACTAACAAGAAAGCCAGGCTGTTATGCTTTACTGTGTGACTTCTATTTTTTTAAAGATACTTTGAATGGTCTCTTTCCTCCCTCAGCCTACTTCTGTATTCATCAAAAATGGTCTCTCCGGGCCCAGGAGGGGGTACAAAGCAGAGAACATCTGACCAGGGACTGAATGGAAGACTGGCCATGGAAATGGCGCTTGGGAGAAGCAGCACCTGGGAATGCAGGCTGAGGATGCTCAGAGGCAGCCTGCCTCGGTGGTATTGCTTATCCATAACTCTTCATTCAGAAAACCACAGAGCTAAGCAGTGGGTCTACACCTCCTGACTTCCGGCTGACAGAGCTGCGCTGATGCCAGCCTCCTGGGTCCCGGGGCTCAGGTTGCGGGTCTGAAGGCAGTTAACTATCCTCCGGATGGAGAACAGATGAGACCAAAGGTGTGTGTCTCCAAGGGCCCCACGGAGACCCCAGGATGAAGCCCACACACCACTGCTATGCAACACTTGGAAAGGGAGTCGCTATGCTGAAGTCAGAGGAACAGATCTTCCAGAGCAATTTCCTACCGGACAAGATCCTCAGGCAGCTGCAAGATCACATAAACTCTATTAAACAAGAGCAGAAACCATGGGGTGAATAAATAGAGACGAAAATTCAATTGGAGGAGAAAAAATGGAGATAATGAGATAAGAGGAGAATTGCAGAGAAATTACTTTAAGCAACATAAGTATTAAAATGACCAGTAGAGGAAGAATCAAGGAAAACCTAACAATACCATAGAAGACAAATCAGAGAAGCCTTTTGTACTAGGTTGTCCCTTATACCCCAAGTCGCTGCTCTATCCTCCAATTGGTAATCCACTGAACCATCACCAATGACTTCTTTGATTAACATGGAGGAACAGGGACCATATGGACCTGCCTAGCTGATGACAAAAAGACTGGATGGAAAATATGAATCAGTGGTTCATGAGACATTAGGTATCAAGTAGCATCAAACAGTGGTCTCTGAAAAGGTGGGAAAGGCAATGACCCCTAGAATCACTACATCTACTGTCTGGAAAGTTTTGAAGCTACACTCCAGGCAGATACAAGCAGTGGCTCTAAGCAGAGGTGAACCCAGAATAGGGGGAGCCCAGGGTGGCTACAGGTCCCAGGGCAGAGCACTGGAGCAGAGGAAACCACAGGAGAGGCAAGGGGGAGGGGACAGGAATGAGAAGGAAGAGGGGAAGGGAAAGGGAGAGGGGGAGGGGGGGGAATGGGAGGGGAGGGGGGAGAGGAAGGGGGAGGGGGGAGAGACCAGGTAGAGGAGCCTGTAATTTATAAATCATCAGTCCGGAATTGAGAAGAGTTTTGCCTCAGTATCAAAATTAGCAAAATTAGCTCTAGTGTAATCACTTTCCTGATTCTGCCCAGTGATGTAGGGCTACAAAAGATCAACTATTTTCAAGTAACTTAATTGTACCCAAAAGTGAACCTCAAGAATATTTGTCAGAGTGCAAAAAATATTTAGTACCCAACATTTAAGGAAGGGATAGTGGAAATTGTCCCAGAAAATTTAAAAGGGAATTGTACCCAACCCATCTTATGAGATTAACATTACTTTAAAGCCAAAATCAAAGACACTATCAGAAGATCAATATCCCTGAAAACAGAGATGCAGAAGTTCCTGACATAGTTTTAGCAAAACTGAATCCAATAATATATCTAAAAATTAAATGAAACCTTAATAAATAAGGAGGTATGGGCTGTCCAAGTATGAGAAGACTCACTATGTTAAGATGTCAGCTCTTTTTGATGTTCAGTTCAACAAATATTTCTAAGATATGATACCAAAAGTTCAATCCATAAAAGGAAAACATGATAAAGTGGACTTCATAAAAACTAAGAAATTTTTTTCTTTAAAAGATACTGTTAAAGAATGAAAAGACAAGTCCAAGGCAAGAATCATGTGCAATTCACATACCTGTAAAGTACTGAAATCATAATATACAAGGAACTCTTAAAGCCATGCGAAAGTAAAAGAACCTAATTTTAAAATGAGTGACAGATTTGAAAACTTCACTAAAGAAGATGCACAGATGGCAATTAAGTCTATAAAAGATGTTCATGATTATTAGTCACTAGGGAAATGCAAACTAAATCCACAGCGACATATCACTACACACCTGTTAGGACGACTAAAAATAAACAAGACTTTCCCACTGAATGTGGATGCTATGAAGAAACCGGAACTCTCATGTACTGCTGTAGGTATGCAAAAATGATTTAACCATTCAGAAAGCAGTTTGCCCATTTCCTGTACAATTAAATGCATATACTACCTACTGTATTATACTCAGTCATGGTACTTCTAGGTACCTACCCAAGAGAAATGAAAATTGTCCCTACAGGCGCTTGGACCATAATATTCACAACAATTTTATTTGTAATCACCAAAAACTGTAAACAAACTGAATGTCCAACGTTCATTATCAGGTGAGTGGATGAACAAATTGTAGAAAATCTGTATGTTAGGATACAAGCATCTAAAATATGTGAACTATTCATACATGTAACATAGGTGAATCTCAAAATTATTTTGAATGAAAGAAGCCAGATCGAAAAGCATATATTATACGATTCCATTCACATAAAATCAAAATAGCGCCATCTAATATATACTGACTGAAAGCTGATCAGGTGTGTGGGATGAGGGCAGGATGGTAGCAGTGACTACACAAAAAGCTCCTGGAGGTGATAAATTACATTGACTGTGGTGTTGGTTTTATGTATGGGTCAGAACTTATTAACTGCACAGTTAAAACGTACAACTTATTTTATGTCAGCCACAGTTCAACAGAGGTGTTTGAAGAACACTATGGCCTTTTTTAAGACCCCTGGGTCACTGGAGCGCAGACATGAGTCATTGTTTTAGTTTTCATTGAGGTTTACTGTTCACCCCTGCACAAAGATGTTGAGGTAGAGGAGAAGCGCTGAGTCACCCTGATACCACCCATGGGTGCCCTTCCTCCTCATGCCGCCTTAACATGGTGAGCTGTCCCTAACCTATAGCCATCTGAGGACATCCTGCTGGGGCCACTAGTAAAAAGAAAAGTGATGGGAGGAGGCTGGTGCCATCTTCTAGGACTTGGAGATTCTTTTCTGTTGTTAGGTCACAAGCCCTGTGATGTGAGGATCTGGTACAGATGTGCCTTGTGCCACCATGTGCCTTAGCCTTGGCATTGCTGGTTGCCTTCCTGGTGGGCAGGGTGGCTCAGTGGAAAGAACACCAGGCTATGGGCAGAGACTGAGATTCTAGCCCTGGGTTGGTACCAAATGCTGTGTGACCTTGCACAGCTCAGCCTTTTCCTTCGACCACACTTAACTTCAGTTCCCCCACCTGTTAAGAGAGGGGGTTGCATTAAAACTGATATTGACCCCCCCAGTCTCGAATGACAGAAGTTGTTCTGAATATAATGTTAAATGAAAAAAAAAAGTGAAAAACAAAGCTGGATTCAGAATTATCTACAAGTCTATTCCCAATTCTGTCAAAAAATTTATGGGAGTAAAGACTGGTGAGGAGACCACTAGCACATACATAACTGCACACAAGATGTTACACGCACTCCCTGGCTCTCCACGCCAGCAGCCTCCCCATGCATCATGTCCCCCACCAGTATGGCACACTTGGTACAGGTGATGAACCTGCACCAAAATGTTGTTATCATTCAAAGTCCAGAGGTCACGTTAGGCAGTGCATCCTACGGAGGTAAGCGAATGCAGCCTGGCTGTGTTTATCACCGTGATTCCACTGTCCTAAAATTATGCTGTGCTTTGGGTCCTGACCCTTGACAAGCACTGACTTTGTTGTTTCTTTTTGCTGTTCTCTTCCAATTTTCTGCTATGTGAATATACAATTTTATAATTGCGAGGAAAAAAAAGGAACTTTCCTGGTGACTCCCAGACTCTACGTAGCTGAAACATCTTAACAGCTTAAGAAGCCAAATGTAAGTCTGGGCACTGAAGTTCTCCCCTCTCAACTCATTTAGTCCTGGGCCTTCCTGGAACTGACACTGGATAGTGACAAATCGCTGAGGCCCTGAGTCAGTGTCTGGACTCTGATGTTGTCTCTACTGCCTTACGGATATAAGCAGGTGCCCACTAACTCTGGGAATGAAATACTCAAAGTGGGTCCTTCCAGACCATCACATAGAGACTGAGCTGATGGGTGTAGACAGGTCACCCCAAATGCTAATCTTGCTTCCTCTTCTGGCTTCTGCTGAGGCCACAGGAAAAGGCTGGGATTTGAGCAGATGGCTCGAGTGGTTCCTGGACTTGGCTCTTCCTTGCTGGCAGAGGCCTTCTGTGTGGCATCTGGCTCGTCCTAATCCTTATTTCTGGTGAACAGAAGCATCTAATTAAGACATCCATGGAAGAGGTTCTAGCAGGAAAAGGATTTTCTCCTGTAAATCTCAAGTCTCATATAAAGGTGAAAAAGTATTGTACATCTCTTGGGGCCCAGAATCAGAAAATTATTCTTTTATGATTGGATTATGGGGGGACTGATTTTTTCCTAGGAACAAGGAAAATGTTGTGTCATGAATCATTTCTCCAGGATGAGATCTCAGGAATATGCTGAATGATATGATATATGCTGAATGATAAAGTTATTGCAAACAAGCAGAATGGGCCAACAAATCAGCAAACTTCCATGACTGCCATTTGATCACCTTTTCTCAAATATCCCATGGCGACTAATCCTCAGAAAATTCTTCCTTGACATCTCAGAATCTTCAGCCACAAAAAAGTTGTCTCACCATACAACAGGAAATTTAGGAAGTAAACTATAACCTCTCCCAAGTTCCTCTTGAATTTCTAGATGGTTGGACAGAGAAAGTCTCTGGTTAAAGAAACTGAAGTAGGATGCTTTTTTTCTTGTTGGGAGTTTAGAATCTCAAAGCTTCCGGTTTTCTCCTTTCCTTCCTACTACAGAAGGATTTGTGACAATGTAACTTCTCTGGCCTCTAGAAGATGGAAGGTTCACGCCTTCACTATCTCACCACTGACCGAGCAAGGGCTGGGCACTGGGGTGAACCCACACTTTTGTGGAGCTGTGCCCCACTGCTGTTCCCAAAGGCCTCAGGAAGCGCCAGTGATCCTCACCTTTGTTCTCTGAAAGTTCAAAAGCAGCCTAGAATTTGCTGAACTCATGCTCCTGAGGTCAGTCTACTTCCCAACTCATGCCTTGCTCTTCTATATCTATAGTAATTTTAAAAAATCATTGGTGCTTCCACTGAACATTTAAAGCTCTTTACCCCTTCTGGTTTCTTTTTTGGCTATGTCTGGAATAAAGATTAGAACTATAGGGGCCAGGGATTTGGTTCAGTGGCACAAACACCTGCCTGCAAGCGCAAGGTCCTGAGTTCAATTCCCTCTCAAAAAAAAAAAAATTAGAACTATATCCAGAATTCATTTGAAGAAACTATTGGGCCAGGTATTTAGCTCAGGGCTGGGGATTTAGCTCAGTGGCATAAGCACGTGCCTGGCCAGCATGAGGTCGTGGATCCCTGGTACCAACCAACAAACAAAAACCTTCATCTTCTGTTTTGATGAGTTTTCTTTCTTTTTCAGCTATACTTTCTTTTATCTCTCCTTTCTTATGCATATTTGTGAAAATAATAAACTGTCTTCTTTATCTTCTGGGCTGTCTCAATATATAATAAACAAGGCTCAGTGCCCTTAGTCGTTATGCTTCAGGAACAACTTGGCAGAAAAGATCCGTGAGAGATCGCCCGTGAGAACAGGAGGCCCAAGGGACATATGGGGAGACCGAGGGTAAGGACTGAGGGAGTTTGGAGCACAGTGCCAATGTAAGGAGGCTGAATAACAATCGCTACTATTATTGAACATTTACTATGTGCCAGGCATGGTCTTAGGCATTTACACACTGAAGTCACTTAAAATTCATAAATACAGCTGTTAGGAACGAGCGAGCCAGGAGTTAGGGTTTTGCTAGGTGGAAAGGACAGCAACCTTGAAATGGAGTTGGAAAGGGAGCAGTGGCGCCTCTGAGTCACGACGCTCCAGAGAGCTCTTACGAAAACGTCTATCAGGTGCGCTTTGGCCATCGTGAACCTCTCCAGAGCACTGTCCGACAGGCCATCAGCACTGCGTGCACAGGGAGCGAATGCTCGGAGACTGGACCCTGAAAAGTGTGCAGCTCCTGCATTGCAGAGATTCTATTGCTCCCATAGGGGCCTGAGCTCCCGTTGGTCCCCTTAAAAGTCCCTAGGCAAGCAGCCTTCTTGGGGATCTCACTCAGAACCCCCTCCTGGCCCTCCTGAAGGGGAAATGGGAACTTCCCCTTCAGCCTTTGTGTTTTTACTTTCTTGCCTTAACATTTTAAAAAGAAATTTGCCTACGCCCTACCTCCTCCAGCCACATTTTCATTTTTTGTCACCGAGGGACACAAATCTGGCATTCTGGTATTATCATCTCATTGTACAGATGAGACCCTGAGACAGAGACATTGTTCAAACGTGCCCACGGTTACAAGTGAGGCAGCGTTGGAGAAGGCAACCTGGTCCGGGCAGACTGACTGGCGTCCATATCCTTCACCAATGTCCTCTCTCCCCTGATCCAATATAGGCTGAATAATGGACAGTAATTTGTACCTCAGCCCTACGCACAAATTCATACGTGTACACATGTACGCACGCACGCACGCACGCACGCACTTCTCCTAGGAAAGCTCCTCTGCTTGGGGCAGGTGGGCCTTTTAGGTAAGCAGTCTGCATGCTGCCCAAGTCTTAGCCTTCTCAGTTCCAACATAAATGAAGCAAGGACCACTACGTAAACCTCAGGATTCCAGGACATTGAAATGTCAGGGGCACATAGAAGCATCAGATCTAGGGGCTGGGGATTTAGCTCAGTGGCATCAAAGAGCCTGCCTTGCAAGTAGGCAGTCATGAGTTCGATCACCGGTACCGATAAAAAAAAAAAAAAAAAAAAAAAAAAAAAGAAGAAGCATCAGATCTACTCAGGGGCACACGATTATATGGAGACAAAACTGCTAGCTAGGAATAATCCTCCTCCCAAGGAGCAGCAGCTCCCCTCTCCTTCCCCAAATCTTCTGCTCCACACTCACCGGTATCAGGGGCACAGGCCTCGTCTGCTTTGGCAGCATTATCTGCATTCTGTGTATCAGAATCTGGGGAGCAAAAACAACAATAACAATAACAAAAGATTTAAAGATCTGTTGATGTCCTCCAGCTTCTTCAGGGACAGGAAGGGCCCTTCTCTGTGATCCGATTGGAGGTTGTGTCCGTGACACTGGGTTACCGCCAGCTGGGATCATGCTCACTGATGGGTGAGGGGCTGTGTCTCCCCTGGAAGCCAAAATCCCAGAAGAAGGCGGTCACGCCTCCTGCTTCCTCTGCTGTCCCCCTGTGAGTTGGAGGCTGTCCACATGGTGAATGTGCTTCATCCTCTGCCACATGTTACTCTGTGTCCCTTCTTGCCTTCACCCCCTTTCTGACCCCCAAATGCCAGGTGTTAGCCCTCTCTTTCTCTCACTGAGGTCCTATGAAGAAAAAATATCCCAGTCCCTTTGTCTCCATTCCTACCCCACAGGGAATTCACTATGCTCCGGGGCCCCCTCTGGGGAAGCAGCCTCTCCCATGGCAGAGTTGGAGCTGCCCCACACCCTCCCACCTTGTGCAAAGCTGGCCCATGTACCTGGGCCATTGGGCTCACTGCTGCTGGCCTCCTCCTTCAAGTGGTCTGGGGTCTCCTGCCTGGACTTCTGGCTGAAGGCCAGGAAGAGATGCGTGCTCAGCGGCTGAGGAAGATCTACTTCCAGGTACGACCTCATGAACAGCTTGAAGACGTCATAGCTAATCGGCTGACAGGGGCAGGAAGAGGAAAGTCAGTGGAGGGAAGCAAAGGTGCAGAGAGGATGGGGAAGAGGGAAAGGAGGCATGGAGATGGCAGGTGAGGTGGACAGATGGGGAAGCAGAGGAAGTGGAGAAGTGATGAGGGGCAGGAGCGACAAAGCTGGGGGGCGTGGTAGGGAAGGACAGGAACAGGGAGCGGGATGGGTGGGATGTACTAAAGATTAACGCCGGTGATTGCACATTGGGGCGGAGGACCACAGTGGGCCTTGGAGACCTAAGACAGGGTCTAATATGGGCCGAAAGGGGGTGATCGAGAGTGTGTTCTGGGAGCAGAGGACTTAGCCTTGGTCCAGGCTCATGGGAGGGACGTGACTGTAAGGAGCAGGATAAAGCCAGTGGTTTGAATCCCAGTTAAGATGAAGAAGGATGCAGCTGAAAACATCAGAGAAAGAAATGGCTCTTCTGTGATAGCTTGGTTTTCCTCTCCTGCCATAAGGGATGCGATTCCTGAGCATTTGGGTCTCAGAAAGCAGGATGGCTCTGAAGGGAAAGCAGGTGAGCTCTGAAGGCCCCATCTTTCATCCTTCTGATCCCCCCTAAAATGACAGAGGGCTGTGCGTGTCTGCTCAGCTGCTTCTCCAAACATGTCCTTGGGAAGGTTTTAGGCACCGGGAGAAGAGCAGGAAGCCAAGGACAGAAGGTGGAGCCAAGAGAGATGCCAAGAACTAGACCCTCTTCCTGCTGTGCCTCTCCTAGTACTTCCTGGCTTCTGGTCCCAGGCCAGGATCAACCAGCCAGAAAGAGCTGCTGCACTCAGCAAACACTCAACAACAACAACAACAAAAGCAGTTTGCAGTGAGTCATTACTGGCTTGTGCTTTCATGGCATCGGATCTTCATCAAACCAGCAGATGCTCCTGGAAATCATTTGAGGAAGTGCTACTCCAAGATGTGCTGTGCTGGCTTTTGTGAATAATATCAGCCAAAAGAGTAAAATCCTTTTTGAGGGATGACTGGTGATACCTGGTGACTCCATCAAAATGCGGATAGCATTTAACTTGCTGTTTGTCCTGGGGTATCTGTGACTCTTCTAGAGCCAGGAGTTGATTTGCATGTGTACAGTGAAGTTTGGGTTCCAAGTCTTGGCCCTAAAATTAAGTGACCCTCCCACCCCATTAAGAGCTGATAGAGCAATTTCTGTTAGCTCCTGGCAGAGGTGTTCTACAGATCTTTGCAGAGTGGAGGATGCGGCTTTCATGTGATTAAAGGAATGCTGAGAATGATGGATTTACTTTTTTTTGGTACCAGGAGTCAAATCAGGACCTTGCACTTGTGAGGCAGGCGCTTATGCAGCTGAGCTATATCTTCAGCCCTGAATCCACATTTATTATGACAATCATCTGTCTCTCATTGGCTTTTTTTCCCAAGTCCTTGTGTCTCTGTTTTACATCTTTCTTTTTACTTTTTAATTTTAAACAGAAAAAAGTAAGAAATAACAAAAAAACAGTTTCAAAATAGACAGTAGGAGAATAGTAATAATCAACACATTGGCCTTTCGTGGACCTGGGGTAGAGAGAACAAGGTCACTCCAGAAAGCAAGCCCAGTCTGGGAACCAGCACCATGCATGGGCTGCTGTGGACTAGAACAGCCAGACCCCAGTCCCTTTGAGTGCACCGGCAAACAGGAAGTACCAATCCTGCCACCCCCCATCCCTGCTGTAAGCGATCCATTATCCAGAGAAACACAGGCTGTGATGATAGCTATGGAAGTGAAATGCAATTGCATCCCTGTGGTGCTTTGCTGTTTCACTAACATTGCAGGTCTAGGGACAGTGGTCTGATCATAGGTTCAGAGGATAGTGATACACAGTGTGACATCTAGGGGGATCTCCTTCTGAAGGTTGCAGACACTGTTTCCCTACGGTCTTGTTTTGAAGTTCTGTAGTGTTTCCATTGTTTTGTTGGGTTGGGCCTTATACTCTTTTGTTTTGTTTGATTACGTCAAATCCGATGGCAGGAGCAACTATTTCAAAGATAGCGAGATATATTATGGTAGCAATTTTGAATTTGCTATTGGTTGGAAGTCTTTTATTGCATTCATTGTTTTGCGTTTATTAGTTTTACTCTATTCTGTTTTGTTTAATTTTTACTATGTCTGAAATTATCTGTATCTATTGTGAAGACATCAAAAGGCATTATGGTAACTATTGTTGATTTCATAATGTTTTGAAGTTTTGTATCTCTTATACTGATTTGTTTTATCCTGTTTTATCTTCTTGAAAATAAAATCAACACATTGCATATTTTATATTTACAGTAGTTGTTCAGAGTACAACATATAGGCATGAAAATATCCAGAAAATTACTAACATAAAGCTTGCCCTCCAATGAACCAAGATAAACTAGCTATTTATATATCTTAATTGTCTGCTGTACATATATTTTCCTTTTCCTTCCTGTTTGTCACCTTTCTCTCATCAGTTTTTCTTTTGAAAAGTTTCTTCCTTAATCACAATATCTATTGTACATCTTGGATCTTATTTACTCTTTTAGATTCTCACACTAATAAGGCAATATGACCTTTACACACGTGGATCTGGTTTATTTCACTAATGAGTATGATCACAAGTTGCATCCATTTACCTATAAAAGTCTCAAGTTTATCTTTTTTATGATCGTTATTGAAACAATCCACATTTTTTTAAAATCCATTTTTGGTTGATGAGCATTTGCGTTGTTTAGCTATTACAAATTGTGCTGCTATAAACATGGGTACACATATGCTGCTATGGTATGATGCTTTTAAGTCTCCTGGGAAGATACCCAGAAGGGGAATAACTAGGTTGAATGGGTCCTCTAATCCTAGCTTTTAGAGGAAACTCCACATTGATTTCCATAGTGGTTGCACCTGTCTACACTTCCACCAATAGTAGAGAAGGGTTCTTTTTCCCCATAGTTCTGCCAGCATTTGTTATTCGTTGACGTCTTGATGTCATCCTATTCTTTCTGTACTGCGATAGCATCTCAGTGTTGTTTAGATTTGCATCTCTTGAATGACCAATGATGCTGAACTTTTTTTATGTACTTATTTGCCACTTGCAGTTCTTCATCTGAGAATTGCATATTCATCTCAGACGCCCATTTTTGGACTGAGTCTTTGAATTTGGTGAGTCTGATTATTTTTCAATTCTTTCTATAGTCTAGATATAAGTCCTTTGTCTCGGGGATAAGTAGCTATAATTTTTTCCCATTTCTTGGGTTGTATTTTCACTTTATTGGTGATTTATTTTGCTGTGCAAAAGCTTTTTAATAAGGTGAGATCCCAGTTGATTCTTTGTTGTATTTCCCAGAAATCTGGGTTTTGTTCATGAAGTCTCTGCCTGCACCTATGTCATTAAGATTTCTACCTACATTATCTTCCAGTAGATTTAGTGTTTCTGTTTTAGTTTTTAGATATTTGATCCATTTTGATTTTAGTTTAGTGCATGGTCATAGACATGGGTCCAGTGTTAGTCTTCAGCATGTGGAAAGCCAGTTTCTCCAGCACCACTTACTAACGAGACTGTCTTCCAGTGAAGGTGTTTGGCTCCTTTGTCAAAGATAAGGTGGCTGAGTGTGTCTGGGGATGTACCTGCATCTGTTACACACTATTTCTGTCCCCCTCTCTCTATAGCTGTTCACTTCAGATACCCTTTTCGCACTCTTTCACTCTTTCCCAGACACAACAGCAAGATGTTTTCCTCCTGCTTTCCACGTGTAATCCACTCACTCCTCCCTCTGTCTTGATGGTATCTGCCAACACTTGCTTGTCTTCACCTGCAAGCTTGTGCCACGTCCACTGTTCCAAAGACATTGCTGTCTACTGCCAGACAGCCATGAGCTCAGCCTATCTTCCTTCTCCTTCAGGTTTCTTCAAGCAGACCATATTAGCCTCCTGAATTACATCCAGTTTGGGGCTTTTAGCTCTGAACTTGCTCTTTTGAAAGTTATTAATTTGGTTGGCTCTTTTTAGACTTTATCATCTTTGGCTTTTTTGGCAACATCTCATCCACTTTTCTTCTTAAAACTGTTTTCTATGGAGTTGTTTTCTTTTGGTTCGCTTCCTTCTCTACTTTGACTTGACTGATTATTTGCAAAATGGCACTGTTATTTATTATTTCTAAAAGTTGTTTTGCACGGCTCTTTGGCAAAAATGTAATTGACAAGTACAGTTTTAAATGGCAGTTTTGAGTTCCAACTTGTACTGTGAATCTTTTCCTGTAACAACCAAATTGAAAACTATTGGAATAAAATGTTTCTGGAAAACAGATTGAAGTGAGTGATTTAACAAAAAGAAAGTCTAAACAAAGTCTAACATAATGCTGTGAAAAAACCCAAGGCCACAGATCACTGAGTAAGATCAGATCTGGAGATCTGTGGCTGGTCTCTGGTCTACTGCATGGTTTGAATCTCAGGGTCTTCTTCAACAGACTGTGGGAGCTGAACTTGAAAATCTCAAGCTCTGAACTTCTCTTAGCTTTCTGCTTAGGCTACCTCCTCCTGCTAACTCTGCAATTCTTGCTAATGCCAATGACAAACTCTCCCAACATTCCAGTCTCAGCTTGGAACTTTCTGTGGCCTGAGACCAGCTGCTGGCCCCTTTCTTCTGTCTGCTGTTCCTCTGCACTTTCTGTCACATTCAGACCTTTCATGCCCATGGTCTCTGCTGTCATCACTGAAGTTTCTGACTTCGTTTCATGCATCTTACCCAGACCACTGCAATACCTCTCTGAGGCTTCCTTGCCTCAACCCCGTGGGCGGGTCCTCCCATCTGTCTTATCCATCTTTGCCAGGTTGATGTCCTGAAGCCAACTCTGATAAGATTGCATCTCTGCTCAAAATCTTGCATGGCTTCTAACTGCCCACGGGGAGAGGTGAGACCAGCTGATGTACTACTGCAATAGGGGTGGCAAACCGATGGCACGTGTGCCTCAGCTGGCTGCTTATGATCACTGAAAACTCAGAGAGGCTTACCATCACTGTCCTAGGCTCTACATTATAAAATACATTTTAAAAAGACAAGTAAGTGAGGTAAAATGACTATAAGCAGGAGGTCTCATATGCTGGGTTACTACAGTCTGGTGGATCACCCTGTGCACCCTCTCAGACCACTGGGATTCTGAATCTTCCTCCTAATCCCACTTTAAATTACATTTGTAGTTCCTCCAAGCTCTCAGACCACTCTGTGCTCTCATGTGCAGCTATGCACCCTGCCCATACTGGTATATCTTTGTTTTCTTGACCAGACCTCCATTTCCTTACCCCATCTGAACAACATCCTCCCTTCTCTTCCTATTAAAATTCTAGCCATGATTTAAGACCTAATGCAGACCCCTAAGCCAGGAAGGACGTCCTGTACCCAAGTTTCTATACTCTGCACCTTAGTTCCTGCTTGTGACCCTTGTATGTGCTGCTCTCTGTTAATAGTTATTTGTGACATATCTCAGGTCCTCTACTAGCTCCGGGGCTTCTGGAAGGTAGTGAGAATACGTTGTTTCATTCTCATATCCCCTTGGTCACCCCTCAGTGTTTCTTCTTAGGTATCTGAATGCGTGATGGGTTCCTAACTGGTCCAATTCAGGAATGGCTTGGTCCTGTGCTGTCTTCAACTTCCGCTGTGGGAGTTGTTCAGTACATATCTGAGCAGATCCTCAATTCTCAAGATAACAGAGCAAGAGGGGACTGTGACTGACACTTTTTGGGACAAGACAGATTTTGCCAACATACATAGCTTGTTTAAGGTCACAAGCATGTCACAGAATGTAACCCACGCTCCAGTGAGTCTGGGTCTGGGTCTGGGTTTATAGTACCCCCACGCACTGCCTCTTAAAGCTGCTGGAATTTTTCCATGGTAGCTATCAGCCACTGTCTTATTTCCCACAGGATCTTTCAGATGACGAGCAGGGGTGTGCTCATCCCAGCCAGATGCTGCCCGATCCTCTGCAAAGTGCCATTCTGTTAGTACATTTCCCAGAAATCTGCCCCTTCCCACAGCTAACTCCTTTCTCGTTGAGACATTTTAGCAGCTGGGAGCCATCAAGCTTGAGAAATTAAACCCTCATTGTTTCTCCAACCCTGTGCCATGACATTACACCTACCAGAAGTCAAGTGCACGGCATGAGAGAATGAAATCAGAGTGACAGGGTTCCCTGGGACACAGTAGTGGCAGGTGGACAAAGAGTGAGCCTGAGGCTGATGGGCGCGAGGGCGGCCACGTGCTCCTAACTCACAAGCTGCTCTGGGCTCTGAAAGCGCCTGTGCCCTGCACACTTGCAGTGGCCTTGACCAAACTGTTCCCCTCCCACGTGTCAGTCCCTGACAGACAGGCTGAACAGCAGCCTCCGCCAGCCTTTGTTCCCGTGTTTCTGGAGCTGGGGTGGGCGGTGGGGGGCAGTGAGTTCTTTGCCAGCTCTGCCCTCTTCTCTGTGGGGCTTCTCCTCAGGAAGGTTTTTTGAAACATCACGTGTGCAAGCTCACCCCTATTCTGGCAATTTCTCTCCTGTTCCATTCTCCAGAGACTGGGGTGTTTTATCTGAAGCCCCTCCCAGGTGCACCTCGAGAGCACAGGGCCTCTGGATTCATTCTCGGTGTCACGCAGGGAAGGTGCTTACTTGGGCTGTTGAACAGATGACAGCGTGAGTAAGTAATGGCCAGGCTTTCCCTAAGGCAATCTGTTGATCTTTCACTTTTTTGCAGTGGGTCCTCAAGAAAGGACCCAGGTGCAGGGAAAAAGTAGGTGAGTTCTGGGAAACATTCTGGGAAAGGAGACAGAGAGGAATAATGGTGGGTAAGTCTAACCGAAGATGCCTTGACTCTAACATCCTGACCTGTGAAGTGGATCCTGTTAGTACGAAGTAAGTTCCAGAAGGTAGAAGCTGTTCCTTGATCTTTGCTTTTCTACTGTATGCAGCACAGTGCCTTGGCTGTTCAAGAGATGATAGACGCATTGACTTTGAAAATGGGAAGAGGTCTTGCATTTGCTTATTCATTCAACAAACATTTATCGAATGCTTGCTATAAGCCAGGTATTCTGGGTACTGGAGATAGCAGTGGACAAAAGTATTCTAGTGGGAAAGACAATTAGTTAATTAAATTATGCGGTGAGACAGATGGTGAGATGCACTAAAAAGAAAGCAGAGCAGTAGGATGAGGAAATATCAGGAAAGTGGGCTCCAAGTTTTAGATAAAGCCGATGACAACCATTGAGAAGGCGATGTGAGCCTCCACTCGGAGTGCAGCAGATGCATGCTGTGGTTGTATTGGGGGTGGCAACAGCCAGTGTGAGGTGCTGAAGTGACAGCCATGTGACACCACAGCATCAAGGAGGTGAGTGTGGCTGGGAAGGAATGAGAACAGGGAGAGCAGAAGAAGCGAGGTTAGACTCTGGGGAGAGACGCAGACTATCACAACCTTGGCCTTTACTCTGTGCAAGGGTTGGAGGACTGTGGAAGATCGTTTCAAAAAGAGCAGCAGCTGTGATGTAAGCTTTGACAGATCACTCAGTTTGTGTCTGAAGAACAGACTTTGGGGACGAGGGAAGGGGCAGAGGGCCCTGGTAAGAGACTCCAGCCGTCACCTGAGCACTGTCTGGTGATAACTCAGGTCAGGATGGTAGCGGAGTGAGTGTGTCATGGATACATTCTGAAGGTAGAAGCAACTGTTTCCTGATGAACTAGATTCGGGATGTGACAGCAAGAGCAAAGTCAGTGATGACTTCCTGGTTCTGGACTGAATAACTTTGAGAGTGTAGTTGTCATTGGTTGAAATAGGGAAGACTGCTATTTCATAGATGAGGGCTCAGGACATGATAAACTTGAGATTTCTATTGACTTTAAATGGAAATATCAAGGTGGGGATGAAAGGAAAACCAGGAGAATGGGATACTCCGGAACCACATGAAGAAGCTGGAGGAGGATTTAACTAAATAAGTCCAATGCCACTGAGTAAAATTGCTGTCCTTGGCTATGCTGACTGGTGGTCAGAGTGGAGGAATGGGAGTTACCTACTGATTAAAAGAGACCAGGAGATGAAAACATGGGGCCACTCAACACAGATAAATCTTTTGCACTGTTTTGCTACAGAGAACAGGAGAATAATAATGAGATGACCGTTTGAGACAGAAATGGAGTTAGGAGAATGGTTTTTAATACAGGAAAACCAATGGTGTACAGATGTGAATGGGAAAAATCTAACATATATACAGAAAAGTGGACGTAAAACAAGGGAAGCGGAAGTGGAGAGAAAGAGGCAGGGTTAGGGCACATATTTTGCTGAAATGATACCTGCTAACAGGCCACAAGAGGGTGCAACTTAATGCTTTAGAGAGGCAGCTGGACTCAGACCAAGGCGTGGGCGCTTACCCCTAATTATGGGAGGAGGGGTACAGTAGACTTTGCACACGGGTGAGGTAGCTAGTGGAAAATCACTTCTGACCGTTTTCTCAGTGGTTAGCTGAGGATGAGGCGAGGAGGGGTGACAGATTTTAGCTGAGAAGGTGGATGGAGTCTTCTAGGATAGCGGAAGGGGTAATGGAATTGGGAAACATGTCATGTCAGACAGCACGGAAGGCTCGCTCATGACTCTGGAGCAAATCTATCAAGGCGAGCTAAGCCTCCAAAAGGAGACAAATCGCGGAAGGCAAAGACTGGAACACGGAGTTTTCTAAGGCTCAAAACGGAAATATGCTTACCTTATGTGGATCATACTGCTTGAGGCTCCCACCCTCATTAAATTCAGCCAAGACATCTTTTATCTTCTTGGAGGAATCTGCAGAGACACAATTTATATGAGACATACTGGTGAGCAGCTAGTGCAAAGCTGGGATGAATAAATTCTCTCTGATCAACCATGGTTATGGTGGAGCAGCTCCTTACTCATTTCCAGGATGATATGGAGAAATATCACCCTTTTCTTTCCTTTTACACTCTTATTTCTTCTTCTCCTTCTCCCCATTCCCTCCCCCTCCTTCTGTTCAGTCTATTTTTTCACCTGCTATCTGAACTACCTTTCTCAAACACAAATTTGATCGAACCCTCTCCCCTGTTCTGCAGATTCCCATTTTCCCAAGGTAAAACCTATCCTCATTAGCTTGGATTCAGCCTCTCATGATCTGAGCTACCCCAGTCATTTCTCCCACCCCATTCATCTACTTTTCAGCCACATAAAACCACATTTCCAGAAATCTCTGAATACACCATGGATTCTTTCATGGCATTTCTTTTCTGTCTTGTAAATTTCACTCAATTTTCAAGATACAGTTCACAGGTCAATTCCTCTGTAAGACCTTGCTTTGCACCAGAGTTAATCATCTTCTCCTCTGGCTCCCACATAACTTGCACAAAATTCTGCAATGGCACTTGTATTATAATTATTAGTTAGTTTATCTTGCTCATCTCTTGTCCAGTTTTACCTTAAGAGCGGTAACTGGCTGGTGAGTCTCCGTATATCAAATCAAGATCTGGCATATAACTAACATCCAGAAAAACAATATACAGGTAAGTGTTTAATCATCCGTGTGGAAATTTTAAAAGCTGAAAAAATTTGTTAATTATTCAAGATGGGCTGCCAGAAAGGCTCACGGGCCGCTGTCCTTGGTGCTGAATTTTGATTGTGTATCAAAGCAAGATACAGTACTGAAGTTTCTACCAATTCTGTGAATCTGACAGCTTTGTCCCCACTTTTTGCTTGACTTTTATGACCTATCTTCATGAGGGGAAATTGAGAGTTATTTATCCTGACATGAAATCATAGCCTCAATTATGTTCCATAATTAGTATGGCTGCATTGATTTTCTTGTGGCAGTTTTAGTATACTGTGATAGCCAGAACGTTTTCCTTTGTAAATTAAGCCATTCTACCCCTCATGTTTTCCCATCAGAGTTCCTTTATGTCACATTTACATTAGAAGGGTATGGAGAAAGACTCAGAGGACTCTGAAAGCATAGCAATTTACAAAATTTTGCTTTCCATAGCAAATAATTCAGATACTAGAGACAACAGTGATTGCATATTTTTTTGAGTTTTTTTTAAAGAGAAAGAATAGTGTTAATAATTACCATAAAAACACATCATGAGTGCTTTCTGTGTAGTTGCCAGCACTTTAGACATCAAAGAAACCCAAGGATTCTATGACCTGTGTTTTCCCTATCTCCAAGTACTGTGAATAATTACGAGCTTTTCAAGCTCCATGGCTGGTACTTAAATGCTCAAACACAGGATACCGTCATTAAAAGCTAACATGGTGTCCCTTGTTGCTCAAGTTCTTTGCACAGAATGGTCTCATAGGCCCAACTAAAGTACATATACTTACAAACTGGGTGTTTCTCCATGGTTTTGCTGACTTGGATTGCACTATGTATATGTTATAATCATTGTGGGATTGAGACATACTTAAGGGCCACCAGAAAATGCCACTGTTGCCTAAAAATGGAAATTTCTTTCTGAAATTCCAAATGGATGTTGCAAACTAATAGCTCTGCTGCTCACTAAAATTCAGGCAGCAGATGCCAACAATTTGTGTTGGTTCCATTCAATTCAGAAAGCACTACAAAGTGTAAGAGGCTGCAAGGTGTTGTTAGTGAACCAGTGGATAAAGTGGCCTGAATAATTGTGGTATAAGTTATCCTTTCCTGAGGATGCTTATCTGTGTGTTTTCATAAACTCTCCTCCACCAAACCAAGCAAATTTGGTGATTATTTTCCAGTTTATAAATTTCAGAAGCTGAAACTCAGAAAAATTAACTGACTTGCTCAAGACCCAGAGTTCTAGCTCAGTCTATTTTCTTGCTTACAGAATATTTGTTAACACAAAAAAGAATGTAATTAATACCGTAGTAATGACATTAAGCTCTATGAAACACTGTTTAAGGGAGAAATAAAATGAAAATGAGTAAAAGGTTGAGATGGGGACCAGACCTGACTGTGAAGTTAGTGGCTGAATTTAGGCACGAAGAATGTGAGTGATGTTAAAACACTGACATGAAGTGGAAGGACGTTCTCAGGAGGGACACCCTCTCATGAGGGCACCCAACAAAGATGCAGAGATCAGCACCAAAGAACATGTAGAAAAAATAAGAACTGGAGATTAATTTGGGGCAGCTTTGCATGGGTCTTGAATGTCAAGTTAATATCATTGATTTGACATTGTTACAGGTTTTTTTTTGAATGATAGAATAACAGAACTAGGTCTCTGTTTTCTAAAAGCTCATCTGAAAATAGAAAAGAAGAGAGTTTAGAATTAGGCCAGAGCTCAGTTAACCTTATCTTATATGTAATATATAGCAATTATTCTACAAACAGCTAGATTATTTACCAAAAAAATCCTATATTTTAGAATACATTTTAATGGGAGATTTTCAGCCTAGCCAAAGTGTTTAGATTGTAGAAAAACACAAAATTGAGAACATGGGTATCCTGAGATGGCTTCTTCAAAAGTAAAGTTAGCATTCTGACTGAGAATCAAGGGACCGATTTCAATAAAATTTATACTTTGGATATTATTATCACAATTTTTGAGAATTCACAGTTTATCCTAACAGATATACCTTTATCATATATTCACATTTAACAGAGGATTTTTAAAAGAAAAAAGAGAAAACATTTATTTTAAGGTACTTACTTAACAGTCTAAGACTAAACAGGAAAAAATAAATAAATAAAACCAAGACAGGAGACTTCTGATTAATTCAGAAACAGGGTACTCCTTAGCACACAGTTACTTTAACTTTATGGGGTTGCATGGGTTATAGCAGCCACACCATTGTTAAAAAGGAAAAGAGCCTAATTCTCCAATTTGTGACACATGACTTTCCCTTAGAATGTCCTCTGATTCTTCACGGCAGTTTTTTCCTCAGAGGATTTCTGGGCTGGGATCTCCTTCTACAAGGAGTGAGTGGGCATGGTGCATGACTAATCCATTTTGATGAGCCCTGCTCCATTCTGCTTCCTCCTAAAACAGTTAATGATAAAGGACTTTTTGGGAGCATTCTTTGCTGTCACTTCAGGTGCCATCTGTTGGCCTAACAGTGTCAGTTCAGGAGGGAACTCTTTTCTCAAAACCTGTAATAACATCACCACCAGGATCAGAGGACATGGCTCCATTTCTGAGAATACAAAATAATGCCAATCCCATAATCCTTTGTAACAACCCATACTTTGCTGCGGGTTTATTGTATAAAGCATTTCCTTAGTGGCCTTTATATTTTATTTAAATCTCCATTACTGCCTTCTAATGTAATAACTATCACCATTGTAGTGAAGAAGAAACTGAGATTTATGGAATTTAATAGATTCCTCTAAGATTACACAGCTAGTAAGTGAGTCACTCTTTTATCATATCTGAATAATATGACATAGCTGTTAAATTCATTGGATATGAAAATACTGCTAAGTCAGAAGACAAGACCTTCCTCTATCACAGTGGCTCTGAAACCTGGCTGACATTGGAATCAGCAGAAAGACTGCATACTGAAACCCAGCACTCATCATTAAATCAGCATCTATTGGAAAATGCAGGAAATAATATATTTTAAAGCCTCAGGGGAGATTCAAACATACAGTCAAAGTTGAAGACTGCTGGCCTATGATGTGATTTTAATTTTATAAGTGAAGACTGTTAAGAAGCAGCTGCATTTATTGAATAATTACTACAAAAATCAAAAAGATTTAACTCTGGTAAATCTCAAATTGATGTGCTGGCAGACATTCTTTGCTAAGTGGGACACACTAAAGAACTCCATCTGACAGGTCACCTGCTTCAGCTATTGGCAAAGCAGGGTAGCTTTAGTTAACTCAGCCTAGCCAGACCTTCAGCACCCCAAATTAGGTGTTTAGTAAGCTCTTTTCTGTAGTCAAGGATACTAGTGACAACATCTGTCCTAAAAGGATTTAAATCCAAAATTATCCTTTTATGCTTTGTGTGCCAAGAACTCTAGGTCCTAAACCAAACAGTCACTCCTAAGTTTTGAGAAAATGCAAAGCTTTCATAAGGAAAAAAACAAAAAACAAAAAATGATGCTCTACTCATAGACACCTCTGCTGCAGCTTGGGGTGGTACCAGAACATTCTCTGTGTGAACAAGCAGGAGAATCAGCAGGACATCAGTTCTGCTGCCTGGACCAAGACCTAAAATTTATAGCCTGTCTTTTGGTGAGAAGCACAGTATTTGAGTGCCAGATCATTATACTGTTCAGCATAGAAATAACCAAAAATCAACATTTTGAAAAGCGTATCTGAAAGTCCATACAGAGAGTGAAATACTAAAGTGTACATCTCTTCCTTCCATTGTTTCTCCTGGTCCAGGAGTTTCTTGAACTGCATGAGACCTGGTGAAAATGCAGATTTTGACTCAGTAGGTGTTGTGGATTAAAAATAAGTGGTCAACTTAACACTAGCTGAATTGAACCAGCAATGGTGCTGAGTGTAGGTGGCCCATCTGAGGACTGTTGCCAGCATAAAAAGGAAATGTAGAGAGAAAGAGTGAGGCATTGTGGGCTTTCCTAAGTGTTGATTGGAGCCATTGGTTCTCCTAGAAGAGAACCAATATAGCTAGCTTCCTAGATATGAATTCAGCCATTATCATCAGAGGAGCTTGGGACCTTGTTGCTGAGAGTGGCTACGGTTCACTTTAGGGGAGCTCTGGGCCTTACATAGAGCATCACTTCCTGGCTCTGGAGGGGAAGAAGTGTGCTATTTAATCCCTAAGAAAAGTTGTCCTGCTGGCTTCCTGATATGTACTTGACTGTTCTCATTGCTGGGGGAGCTCAGGACC